TTAGGAAACTTAAACTGATAAACATTAGAACAGAAATTAAATTGAAAACAGGAAATCAGAAAAAAACATCAAAAGCTGGTTCTTTGAAAAAAAATCAATAAAATCGATAAACCTTTAGCCAGGCTAAACAAGGGAAAAAGAAGAGAGACACAAATTCCAAACATCAGAAATAAAAAAGGGACATCACTACAAGTGGCATAGCTAATAAAAAGATTAAAAGGAATATTATGAACAGCCCTACACCCATAAACTTGATAACTTAGGTAAAATTGACCAGTTTCTTGAAAAACACTGTCTACCAAAACTCAAACAAGGAGAAAGATCATCTGGGTGGGCCTACATCAATTAAAGAAATGGAATCAATAATTAATAATCTTCCAAAACAGAAAGCACAAGGCTGAGATGTTTTCACTGGTGAATTCTATCAAACATTTCGGGGGGGAAAAAATCAATTTTCTACAATCTCTTCCAGGTAATAGAAGCAGAAGGAATACTTTCTAATTCATTCTGTGAGGCCAGCGTTACCCTAAAACCAAAACCAGAAGAAGATATTACCAGAAAGACGATATCACAGACCAATATTTCTCATGAACATAGAAGCAGCGATTCTCAATAAAATATTAGCAAATCGAATTCAACAATGTATAAAAAGAACTATACACCCTTGTAGCAGGGCGAGCCACAGACACAACCTCTCAGACACGGAGTTGTAGAAGGAAGGGCTTTATTCAGCTGGGAGCATCGGCGATCTACTGCCTTAAAATCCGAGTTCCCCGAGTGCACAATTTCTGTCCCTTTTTTTGGGGGGACAGAGTCTCGCTCTGTCGCCCAGGCTGGAGTGCAGTGGCTGGATCTCAGCTCACTGCAAGCTCCGCCTCCTGGGTTTACCTCATTCTCTTGCCTCAGCCTCCCGAGTAACTGGGACTACAGGCGCCCACCACCTCGCCCGGCTAGTTTTTATATTTTTTAGTAGAGACGGGGTTTCACTGTGTTAGCCAAGATGGTCTCGATCTCCTGACCTCGTGATCTGCCCATCTCGGCTTCCCAAAGTGCTGGGATTACAGGCTTGAGCCACCGCGCGCAGCTTCTGTCCCTTTTAAGGGCTCATAACACTAAAGATTTCACATGAAAGGCTCATGATTGATTTGAGCAAGCAGGGGGTACGTGACGGGCTGCATGCACCAGTGGTCAGAGTGAAACAGAACAGGGCAGGGAGTTTCACAATGTTCTTCTATACAATGTCTGGAATCTATGAATAACATCAGTTTCTAAGTTATGAGTTGATTTTTAACTACTGGGTTTAGGCCAGGCAGGCCCAGGCCTGGTTTCAGGCCTAGCGCCGGGCTGCCTGTCTTTGGTTTTCCTTCCTTGTTTTTTTCTTAAAACAGGTACTGAGTATAAAACAATATGAAACACTATGAGAGGGTCTCTCTCTCTTTCCTCATCATGACCAAGTGGGTTTATCCTAGGTATGCAAGGCTAATCCAACATTTGAGAATCGACTAATATAGCCCATAATATTTACAGGCTAAAAAAGAAAACTTACATGATTTTTTCAATAGGTGTGGTAAAATAATTTGACAAAGTTCAGTACCCACTCACATATTGCAGCAAACTAAGAACAGAGGGGAATTTCCTCAGCTTCGTAAAGAGCATCTACAAAATGTCCTGTAGCTAACATCATACTTAATGGTGAAAAACTAGATGATTTCACCCTAGACTGGAAAAATGGCAAGGAATCCCTCATCACTGTTCCTATTCAGCATTGTACTGGAAATCCTAGCTAATACAGTAAGAGTAGAAATGGGAATAAAAGGCGTACAGATTGGGAAAGAAGGAATAAGACTATCTTTGTTCACAAGTGATATGATTGCCCATGCAGAAAATCCCAGAGAACCAACAATAACAAGAAAACTTCTGGATGTTAGAAGCGATTATAGCATGGTTGCAGGATTCAAAAATTAATCACTTTCCTATATGCCAGCAATGAATAGTTGGAATTTGAAATTTAAAACTCAACACTATTTACATTTATCCCCCCACCCGCCAAATTACATAGGTGTAAATCTAACAGGATACGTACAAGGTCTAGGTAAGGAAAACGACAAAACTGTAGTGAAATCAAAGAAGATTTAAGTCAATGGAGAGATGTTCCATCTTCATGGAGGAGAAAACTCCCTGTTTTTTAGATGTCAGTTCTTCCCACTTTGACCTGTAGATTCAATACAATCCTAATCAAATTCCCAGCAAGTTACTTTGTAGCTACCAACAAACTGATTCTACATTTATGTGGAAAGGCAAAAGACCCAGAATAGCCTCGCAGTATTGAAGAACCAAGTTGGAGAACTGACACTAGCCAACTTTAGGACTTACTGTAAAACTGTAGTAATCTAGACAGTGTGGTGTTGCTGTAAGAATAGACAAATAGATCAATGAAACATCATAGAGAGCCTGGGAGTTGACCTACCTAGTAAATCCACCCAGATAGTCAACCCGTCCACCCAGATAGTCAACCCATCCACCCAGAGAGTCAACCCGTCCACCCAGAGAGTCAACCCATCTTTGACAAAGGAGCAAAGGCAATTCAGGGCAGACAGAAAAGCACTATTTCTTTTCAACAGATAGTTCTAGAAAAATGACATGCAAAAAAAAAAAAAAACCCAGCAACTGTGACTATAGACGGTGATCATACACACAGTTCAAGAAAATTAACTCAAAATGAGTCATAGACCTAAATGTAAAATGTATAACAATGAAACTCATAGAAATGTAGGAGAAAGTCGAGGTGACCTTGGGTTTGGCAACAAATTTTTGGACATAACACCAGAAACACTCTTCATGAAAGGAAAATTGGTAAGTTGGACTTCATGAAGATTAAAAACTTATCCTTTGCAAAATACAGTTAAGAGAATTAAAATGTGAGCCACTGACTGGGAGAAGAGATTTGCAAAACACATATCTGATAAAAGCCTGGTACCAAGCAACACATGGAAAATAAGGGTGTTTGGATGGGTAGGGCGGGATGAGCTAGGGAGGACCTGGAAAGTTAGTTTCTTTTTTAAAACACTAGAAACTCTCCTGGAGCACCCCTTGCCCTTTTCATTACAGTCAACCTGAGAAAGGAACTGAAAATACGGCTGTAGTTGTCATGAACTTGGGGGAACCACTACTCGGTTTTTACCCTCATTAAGGAACTTTGTTATGAAAGATAAAATCACGGCCGGACGCAGTGGCTCAAGCCTGTAATCCCAGCACTTTGGGAGGCCGAGACGGGCGGATCACGAGGTCAGGAGATTGAGACCATCCTGGCTAACACGGTGAAACCCCGTCTCTACTAAAAAATACAAAAAACTAGCCGGGCGAGGTGGCGGGCGCCTGTAGTCCCAGCTACTCGGGAGGCTGAGGCAGGAGAATGGCGCAAACCCGGGAGGCGGAGCTTGCAGTGAGCTGAGATCCGGCCACTGCACTCCAGCCCGGGCGACAGAGTGAGACTCCGTCTCAAAAAAAAAAAAAAAAAGAAAAAATCACTTTGTAAATGTGAATTAGGGTAGAAAATGGAAATTCCTTATATACTCTCTAAGCCACTGGAAACTTGAGGCAGAGAAGTTTTAAAAGACACACGTGGATTTCCTCTGAAATATTTGTAAACAGCAAATTCAGAATATGTTGGTTAGTTTAGGCCCATACCAGGCTTTAGTTGTTACATTGAATTGCAAATAACTTATGTTCATGAGCCTGGAACTCAAGAAGTTCTTGGTGTGAGAATTTGACAACTACTTCTGGCTTCCCGGAGCCAGAACCCACCTGGGAGTGGGGTTTTGAAGTAAGCACCGTTGAAGAGACACAGACGGCAGAGGCCGCAGCGCAGGCTGGGAGACTTCCCTCAGGTTTCGGTAGACTGTCTTCATTATGGCGTAAAAACGTGTCAGATGAAATTTTAGAAACTATTTCCAAACTCAGTGAAGGTTTGTGACATCTGGGACGTTGTTTTCAACACAGAAGTTGAATGAAACTGCTACAGAGGCAAAATGAGAAGTGTGGAGAGGAGAGGCTGTGGTGACTGGGCATTCCCCCTCCTTCCTCTCCTTCCTCTCCTTCCCCTCCTTTTCCTCCTTTCTTCCCCTCCTTTTCCTCCTTCCTTTTCCTCCTTCCTTCTCCTCTTTCCCCTCTTTCCCTCCTTCCCCTCCCTCCCCTCCCTGCCCTCCTTCCCCTCCTTCCCCTCCCTCCCCTCCCTGCCCTCCTTACCTTCCTTTTCCTTCTTCCTTCCCCTCCTTCCTCTCCTTCCCCTCCTTTTCTTCCTTTCTTCCCCTCCTTTTCCTCCTTCCTTTTCCTCCTTCCTTCTCCTCTTTCTCCTCCTTCCCTCCTTCCCCTCCCTTCCCTCCCTGCCCTCCTTACCCTCCTTACCCTCCTTATCCTCTTTTTCCTCCTTTCTTCCCCTCCTTCCCTCGTTCCCCTCCTTCCCTCCTTCACTTCACTCCCCCGACATCCCCTCCCTGCCCTCCTTGGCTTCCTTGTCCTCTCCTTCCCCCTGAGGCCTCAAAGCCCTTGTGCCTGGGCTGTGGACAAGAAACACCTCTGCCTCAGAAGCCACCTGGAGCTGAGTGAAGGCTTCCATTCAGCTCGCTGTCATCACCCGTCATGCTGTCACTCAGAGGAGAGATCATGCAGAAATTACTGAAGTAAAATGCTAATGTGTTGAGTTAATGATCACAGGTTTACATTTTATAAAAGACATCTCAATAATCAAACTGTTGTTGAGCTACCTTGCGTTTTATATTGAATTCTCTGGAGTTCGGTAATTTACATACGTGTTTCAGAGTATACACTTTGTTTCAGCCGTCTTAGCTGTCAACAGACACTCTAAATTATGAATTACTAGTTTTATATTTAAAGCTAAACATTTTGTACTGTAAAATCCAGTGCTACTTACTATGCCTAGAGTAACACTATGAGAGTAAAATCTGATCTAAATGATGGATGTTTGTTTTTCTTTTATGCAGTACACATTTTGGAACTTTATACCCAAGAATTTATTTGAACAATTCAGAAGAGTAGCCAACTTTTATTTCCTTATCATATTTCTGGTGCAGGTAAGGCCGGTCATTGTTTTCCATCTCATCAAATATAAATCTAAATAAGTGACATTTTATTCTCAGGTAACTGCCACACGGCTAATGAAAGCGCAAGGGCGTGGTGCCCCTCACCTACGATTCATTTATTTATTTTCTTAAGGAACGACGAAACGTGTTGGTTCTGTGAGATCCACACAAGCTAAATTAGCACACACAACGCCACTTTGGGTTTAAGTTGGGGACTGCCTTTCCTGCCCCTTTCCTTCTAGTACCAGAGGGGAAGTCAGAGCTTTGTTATCTTTTGGACAAGTTCACAGCCAAGCTATGCATTGTTCCACTTACTTTACTCTTCATAAATGTGTGTGGATGTTCTAAAGAAAATCCAGGCCAGGCGCAGTGGCTCACGCCTGTAATCCCAGCACTCAGGGAGGATCACGAGGTCAAGAGATAGGGACCATCCTGACCAACATGGCGAAACCCCATCTCTACTAAAAATACAAAAATTAGCTGGGCGTGGTGGGCGTGCCGCCTGGTAGCAGTCTTGCCGGGGGAGGTGCAGGAGCCGAGATCTCTTCGGAGACAGTGAAAAAAAAAAAAAAAAAAAAAAAAAAAAAAAAAAAAAAAAAAAAAAAAAAGACAGGCCGGGCAGGAATCGCTTGGACCTAGGAGTGGGAGGTTGCAGTGAGCCGAGATCGTACCTCTACATTCCAGCCTGGAGACGGAGTGAGACTCTGTCTCAAAAAAAAAAAAAAAAAGAAAAGAAAAAGAAAATCCAAAGACAGTACACATGAAAAGAGAGTTTAAAGAAAAAAGGAGGGAAAAAATGTCTCAGGGTATGAGTTAGGGAGCAATGTGCCAGGTGTGTTTTAAGAACAACCCTCTAATTTTTCTAAATCCTACAAAATACTATTGAAGGACTTTTAAAATTTTTCCAACATTATTCAAATCATGTAATTAAAATGTGACACTGAAGCCGAGGGATGAATTAACACAAGGCGTGCCCCGACTTCAGACTGTGTCGGCCACTCCCCGTGGTTTCCTTGAGCATGTTCCTTAATTTAAAAAAGGTGCCCTCATTTTAACAGTCAGTGAAATAGGATGATTGAGTTGCTATCTCCCATGGTGGGCAGAGTCAGGTGCCAGCAAAGGGTTTAAATAAGTCAAAGCGAATGGGAAGTGCTGGCTCAGGGCAAACTAACCTGCCTAAAGTCAGTCATTTGCATTTTTGAAGATGATTTTACAATTCTGTCTTTCTGCAGTTGATTATTGATACACCCACAAGTCCAGTGACAAGTGGACTTCCACTCTTCTTCGTCATTACTGTCACGGCTATCAAACAGGTAAGCATTTTACAGACGAAACGCAAGCAAGTCGCCATCTTTGCCATGTGAATTGCCTTTCATTCGAAGCCAGGTAATTGGTTCGTTTCAACTAGTTCATGGAAAAGTCAACCAAGTTGTAGAAATTCATTTTTATAACTGTGTTGATACTTGTAGCACAGTAAGAGATGTTATGTCATTTCGTTGCTATTCTGTCGCCATGTGAATTTGAGAAGAAATCTATGGTTTTCACATCCCAGATCACCCAGGGATGATCTGATTCAGATGAGTCACTTAACCTTTCCGCATCCTTGACTGTCTTGACCACCTGAGAACATGCTGTTTATGGACTCCGGCAAATGGGGTGGTTCTTGTTGGTTTGTTTTTCCTTCATAGCCCTGGTAAATAAAGCCAGTGACTAACATGGAGAAGAATACATCTCAGTTTTACTCTCCGTGTATCCATTTTATCACCCGCAGATTCCCCGTACACATGTTCAGTCACTCCCCATTTTCTCCTCCCCGTCCCTGGCAGAGACTCACGTTTCTGTCACCGTAGAGTTGCCCATTCTAAACATTTCATGCTCACAGCTCATGTGCGGTGTTTTGTGACTCGCTTTTTCACTTAGCACGATGTTTTCAAGGTTTCTCCGCATCTGAGCAGGCGTCAGCGCTTCGTTCCATCTGATGAATGAGTCACGGTCCGCCGCGCACACCCCGCAGTGTGTGTATGGCTTCCTCTGTGGATGGACATTTGGGGTGTTTCTGCGTTTTAGCTGCTCTGAATCATGCTGCTGAGCACATTTGTGTTTCACACCCACCAGATCGGCTTTCAGATGTGCAAGTCTGGAGAGGGCGTGGCGAGGCAGGCACCACGGGCACCCGGCAGGAGTGTGGCAGAGCCACCAAGCACAGCAGGTGGCAACATCTGACACAGGCAGAGATGTGGACACACAGGGGCCGGTGCAGATGATAAGCATGCAGCTGTGTAGTCAGTACATGGGGCCTGTGTGTCTTCACTAGGCCAGAGCAGGCCGTGCCTACCAGGGTACGTGGACTGGGATGTTCATGGTGGCCGTCATTGGTTAGCAAAGGACTCGGGAAGCCCAGGGTCTCCCATAAGGAAATGGGCGGCTCCTCTGCGAGGCGGGGCAGGACACAGCACAGTAGCCAAGATGAACTGCGCTGCCTGGAAAACAACGTGAGGGAAACTCAGGTTTCCCAAGGACTCACTGCCCGCGACTCAGGCATTTTAGCCCCTAACTGGGATAAGGCCTCACTCCGTGTCGGTGGCTCTTGCAAACTTCGACTTTAAGCAAGAGGACAGGTTTTCTCATCGACTTCACAAGGAAGTGGTGCTGAAGGAAACGATGTTACTCGGGGACCTGCTGTGTGTCCTTGGGCCTAAAGTCGCAGTTTCCAGGAACCCATCTTGGAGATTATGTGAGGGCGTCCCATGCTGTCTGTGACACATCTGTGTGGTAGGAGCAGAGGCTGCAGACGGGAAGGAGACGGCTGAGCCCCTCGAGGGGAGCAGAGAGAAGGGGCTGAGGCTCTGCGGCTATGTCCTTTCCAGCCCGGCCTGGGAGGCAGGCCCAGCGCTGTTCTTCAGCGTCCTCTGCTCTGCGTTTGTTAAAGATTCCATCCCTCCAGGGACCCCACTGAGCGGGAAACTCCTGAGGACTCCAGGAGCGTCCTGGAGGAGAGGAGAGGAGAGGAGAGGAGAGGAGAGCGCGGAGTAGGGAGGGTGGCTCTGAAGACGCATCTGGGCCAGAGAGGCAGCAGCCGGGGAGCCTGAGCCCCCATGGATGCAGAGGCCGCTTGTCTACACTGTGCAGACCATGGCCCCAGACAACATGCGGTGTCCTCGGCCCGGCTGCGTCCCCTCCCTGGCTGTGTCCCCTCCCTGGCCGTGTCCCCTCTCATCAGCCTGGCTGTGTCCCTTCCCTGCTGTGTCCCCTCCCATCCCAGGGCAGTGGGCGGGTGTTGTTGCGGGTGTTAAGAGGGGTCAGGGCAAGGTGGTGAATAAACAGAGCTGCAGGTCTGGGCCCCATCACCAGCACCCCTGCCCCTGGCCGGAGGGGTCTCTTCCTCTCCCGCACGTCTTGCTACCCAGCCTTCACTCTGGGGACGGCCTCGCTTCCCCCACTGCTGGTCTGGACCTGTGTGTGCCAGAGTGTCCCCGCCCCCTCGGCCTTCCCCCACTACTGACCTCCTCGTCCCTCTTCCTCGGGAACGGCAGCTCTGTCCGCAGCCGCGACTTTCCCAAACGGCCTCCCCACACGCTGGCTCCAGCAGGGACGTTTGTGCTGGGGTCCCCATGCTCCCGGCCCCTCCTCGCTTGCCTTGGAAAGCCCCCTGCACTCACAGAGGCCTCCCTGATTTTCTCTTGGGTTCCCACCTCTCTTTTCACACCATCTCCCCGGTGTCTCACCTGGGCACTGACGGGCATCTCACTGCACCTGGCTCTGCCACTGAGCAGCCTTTCCCTGTGGCACCCAGCCTCCCCTGCTGTGTGCAGGGCCCCTCCAATCAGCCGGTCACATGCTTGGGCCTTCACATGTCCCTCCGGTTCCAGCCAGGCTGACCAGTGGGCAGTGCCCGCACCTGGGGGCTCCCTCACTGCTGGGCTTTCCTGGGCAACCTCCTCTTTGGCGTCTTTCCGCAGCCTGGGCACTGGGCTTCTCGGGGGTGCTGGGTGTCTCTCACCTGCACTGAACTTGCAGTTACTTCTGTTTCTTCCCCACCGATCCTGAGAGCAGCAGCGCTGGGGACAAGGTCTTTTGTCTGTGGGACTCTGGTGCCTGGCACTTACTGAGCATGCAGTTGGTGCTAAATAAGTGTGTTTAATGAACCCAGGAATCATCTACCCACTGCCACCTTCCAGGAAGACTGTTCTTCAGTTTCCCCAGAAAGAGTATTTCAGCGATTTGGGAGGAATCTCTGAAAAGCAATCAGATGCCACAGTGTCACAGTAGTGGTCACGGCTGGAGAAAGCTCCGCATGTTTGGACATCCATGCGTCCCAGGCTTCTTAATTCTCCAGAAGCTGGAGGTTTTGGGTTCCTTGTTAATGTTCCCTTTGGAAAAGACTCCGGTCACAGGGCCACTGATGCCGCCACGTGGCCCAGAGGGAGGAGGCCCCCAGTGAGCCTCCTGCCCCACAGGCTCTCTCAACATACATGCAGCGGGCCCATGGCGTAGGCTTCCTGCTGCCATCCTGCATGGTTGTGTGTCTCAGCGTACGTGCAGCGAGCCCGTGGCACAGGCTTCCTGCTGCCATCCTGCCTGGTTGTGTGTTGTGTGTGGCAGAGCTGTGTTCCCAGTCTTGGTGCTCATTAGATGCGGTGGACGCCTGTAGGCCCCTGGTGTGCAGTCTCTCACATGCTGGGGGTTGTTACTGAGGACGGCATTCCCCATCCTTATCTAAGGCACCTGCACCCGGCAACGCCAGACACAAAGGCATGTTCGTCATCCCCGGAATTGTCTGCGTGCTGCATCTGCTATTGTTGCTGCTTTCAATATACCACCTGACTGTCCAAGCAGAGGGTGTGCCTTGGTGGTTGGAATTGGAGTGCGGGTGTCTGTGCCTGTCAAAGGCATGCAGGTCTGGCAGCGCGGCTGGGGTCGGGGTTAGCTCGGGCTGCTTTTCCAGCAGGGTGCTTGTGCGTGCACAGGAGTCACAATGCGATGTTTCCCATGTGGGTTACCCAGACGCAGAAACGCATGGAGAACCGTAAGGCTGCTGCAGGTGTCGCAGAGTGAGCCGGTGGTTCACCGAGAGTCTGGGCTGCCAGATCTCATAACAGCCAGTTTTTAATGAAAGAGAAAAATGGCCATTGGGGGCTTTTCCAAGCAGAAGATTGACACTCAGCGGGTGGAAATGTGCCTGGCCCCACTGGAGTCTTGAGGGCTTTTCGGTGTGGATGTGAAGAAACTGGAAGGCTTGCTCGTCATTTCATTCAGACACTTCTTTTTTAGGAATTTATCCTAAGGCCATGTCATGAATAGGCACAGAAAGTACAGTTATATAGTACTTACACAGACTTTGATGAGCATCTTTATCCAACGTCTTTGCAGTTCTACAACTGCAGACATTTAAAGCAGCTCGCATTGCCAAGGGAATATGCCAATGCTCTGTTGAGGATACAAAGAATAGTGTGTGTAATGTGTCCTGATTTTGAAAAAACACACCCCCACAGGCTTGGATTATGCTTAGACATAATTAAACGCAAGCCTTCTGTCTCTCCTCCCTTTCTCCTCCTTCCCTCTGTCTCCGCTTCCTCTCTCCCTTCTTTGCTTCCTTTTTTTAGGGTTATGAAGACTGGCTTCGACATAAAGCGGACAATGCCATGAACCAGTGTCCTGTTCATTTCATTCAGCACGGCAAGCTCGTTCGGAAACAAAGTCGAAAGTTGCGAGTAAGTGACACCCGACACATTTACCCTGGTGAAGTCCAGTAACAGTTTAAAAAATAAGTTTTACCCAGGTGCGGTGGCTCGCGCCTCCAGTCCCAGCCACTCAGGAGGCTGAGGAGGGAGGATCGCTGAGCCTGGGAGTCGGAGGCCACTCAGCAGGCTTCACCGTGCCTGTGAATAGCCACTGCTCTCCAGCCTGGGCAACCAAGAAAGACCCTGTCTCTCAAAACATTTTCAAAATACAAATCATTTTTTTTTAAGTTTTTATTTTCTTTGGCAAAACAGACAAAAAAAAAATGGCAAAAAAATAATGTGTTTTATTGGGTACAGGCCCAAGCTCCCTACTACGTTTTTTTTTTTACTTTTAATTTTTGTTTGTTTATGTCTTTTTAGAGCAGTTTTAGGTTCACAGCAGAATTGAGTGGGTGTACCTACTGCCCCTCCTCCCAACACACACAGACACACACACGCACACCACAGCATCCCCTCCGTCAGCATCCCACACCAGGATTGGTGGAATTTAAAACCATTATCACTGCCCCATCCCCACACACAGACTCCCTCCACCAGCATCCCACACCAAGATTGGTGGAATTTAAAATCATTATGGGAACACACGAACCAATCAAGGCAAGAAAAGGTCGGAAACACTGTTTCTAAAATTTGTTTTAGAGTAAAGTATAATAAAATCATATAAATATAAACTCGACTAGGTGGAAATTTATGAAAATTGGAGCAGAATACCTCATCGAAGATTGCATTTTTTAAAAATGTATTTATTTACTTTTTTAGAGACAGAGTTTTGCTCTGTCACCCAGGCTGGAGTGCAGTGGCACAACCTCAGCTCACTGCAACCTCTGCCCCGGGTTCAAGCGATTCTTCTGTCTCAGCCTCCCCAGTAGCTGGGGTTACAGGTGCCTGCCACCACGCCCAGCTAATTTTTGCATTTTTAGTAGAGACGGGGTCTTAACAAAATGTTGGCCAGGCTGTTCTCGATCTCCTGACCTCGTGATCCTTCTGCCTTGGCCTCCCAAAGTGCTGGGATTACAGGCATGAGCCACCGCACCCGGCCAAAAAATTTATTTTTTGTTGATATATAATAGTTGTACATAGTTGGGGGTCCATGTGATATTTTGATGCCTGCACACCAGTGTTTAATGATGAAGTTGGGGTAACTGGGATGTCCGTCACTTCAAACATTGATTGTTTCTTTGTGTTGGGAATATTACAGTTCTTCTCGAAGGCTGCATTTTAAATCCGTTTCAAATGAATTATTCATGTAACTAATATCTCAATATATTTAAAAATATGTGTTTAAATTATTTAAATGAGATATTTTCAAACTTGTACTAGTCATTTGGAATCACCTGTATAGGTAGAAACCATGAGTGTGTTTTTCACGTTTGTGTCGAGGTAGCGGTCAGCAGCCTGCTCCAGTCCCCCATCTGAGGTGGATCTAGGTGCCAGGCCCACGCCGGCCCCTTCCTGCCCCCGCTGGTCCTCGTGCACCCTGCCTGGCTCTTGCAAACTCCCATGCCTCCCTCCCTCCTGCAACCCCACTGCTTCCCCTGGCTGTTTTCCCTGCCGAGCCTTAGGAGGTTTGGTGAGGGAGACAGGGAGCACCCCACTGGGTCCCGTGCATGTGGAGAGCCAGGTGCGTTCCAGAAGCCTGGAGGAAGGAGGACCTCCAAGCAGCGCGGCCAGCCTGGGCTCAGTGAGCCTCTCCGGACAAGGCCGCAGCCCCTCCCTGTCCAGTGGGATGGGACCCCGGAGGCGTTCAGAGGCCCTTCAGAGGAGCTGGCATCCACCACTAGCCCCCTGCCTCACCTTGCTCTCACTGTTCTGTGTATCACACGCATCACCAAATGTACTTGTAAGCGTTTAAACATTTTCACTTATAAATGTGCTATCCCGGTGTTTAAATGCTTCTGAGACAGCTTTTTCCATCAGTGAGTTCAGGTGAGTGAGGTTTCCCTAGGGGTCAGGGGTTCAGAGAGCAGATGGCCCCAGCCTGGGGAACAGCCACAAGCTCCATGCCTGTGTCAGCAGGCGTCCGGTTCCAGGCCTTCAACGCCATTTCCTTTCACGATTCTATTTCCCTTGCAAAGCCTTTCATACTTGTAGCTAAACATCTTTCTTAAAAAATAGACCTAAACAGTGTCTGCCCGCAGAAAATTGAATTTTTAATGTATCAGTCTCCTGTGGGAAATGCCTTCTCTGTATCCTGTGTGTTGTAACTGAGAGGATGCTAAACAGGCTACTCAGGACAAGAAAGAAAAGATCAGGCTTTTCCTGCAACGGCAGACATCTGGCTTCCATCGGTCATAATGGCTCAGGCCTTTGAGGGTACTAGAGTGTCCTAGAAAAGCATTCCTTTAATTAATTTTTCTTTTTTAATTAAACTTTTTATTTCAAGGTAATTACAGAGTCACATGCGGTTGTAATAAAACAGAGGCATCCTGTGTTCCCTTTGCCCTGATGTGTTGCCCAGCTCGAAAATTTTGTCATTTCAAGGATGTGATATAAAGAGAATCCTGCAGCCTGTGACCTTCTGGGGTTGTCTGTTTTCAGGCAGTCTAATTCCCTTGGGATTCACAAAGTCTGTGCACCAGCTGTTCCTTCCCTTGTGTTGCTAAGGAGCGTTCCATGATGTGGGCATACCGCAGTTTCACCATTCACAAGCTGAAGGGCTTTTCGACCTTTCTAGTTTAGGGCCGTTATCAAGAAAGCTGCTATGAATATTTTGTGCAGGTTTTCTTGTGAATTTAGTTTTCATTTCTTTGGCATAAAAGCTCAAGAGTTCAGTTGCTGGGTCATCTAGCATATCTACGTTTGGTTTTGAAAGGAACTGCCAAACCGTTTTCCAGCATGGCTATCCCATTTCATTCCCACCCACAACGTTGCCAGCATCTTCCCCAGCCCTGGGTGTTACTGCTGTTCCTGATGTCTCGGTGCAGCTTAAACGTGTCCCTGATGGCTCTGTGGGACATCTTTTCGCACTTGTTTGACATCTGTGTATCCTCGTCAGTAAAAACAACTCTTCATGTCCTGGCCGGGCGCGGTGGCTCACGCCTGTAATCCCAGCGCTTTGGGAGGCTGAGGCGGGCAGATGACGAGGTCAGGAGAATGAGACCATCCTGGCTAACACGGTGAAACCCTATCTCTACTAAAAATACAAAAAATTAGCCAGGTGTGGTGGCGGGCACCTGTAGTCCCAGCTACTCGGGAGGCTGAGGCAGGAGAATGGTGTGAACCCGGGAGGCGGAGCTTGCTGTGAGCCGAGATCAAGCCACTGCACTCCAGCCTGGGCCACAGAGCGAGACTGCATCTCAAAAAAATAAAATAAAATAAAACAAAAATAAGTAACTCTTCATGTCTTTTACCCATTTTTCTAGCTGGATTCTTTGAGTTTTTTACTGTTACATGTTGAGAGGTCATATAGTCTAGATAGTAGTACTTTGTCAGGTATATGATTTTGAACACTCAGCAGGATATTTCACAAAGCCAACGTTTTTAATTTTGTTCAAGTCCAATTTCTTGATTTTTTTTTTTTTTAATTATTATTTCTTTTGAGACAGTCTTGCTCTTGTTGCCCAGGCTGGAATGCAATGACGTAATCTCGGCCTGCTGCCACCTCCACCTCCCAGGTTCAAGCTCTTCTCCTGCCTCAGCCTCCCAAGTAACTGGGATTACAGGTGTATGCCACCATGCTTGTCTAATTTTTTAGTGTTAGTAGAGATGGCGTTTCATCATTTTGCCCAGGCTGGTCTCGAACTCCTGGCCTCAAGTGATCTGCCTGCCTCGGCCTCCCAAAGTGCTCACAGGAGTGAGCCACTGCGCCCAGCCGAGTTTTGTTTTTTTTTTTTCTTTTGTAGACTTTACATTCAGTGCCTGAATGAAGCATTCTTTGCCTGGTCCTAAGACCCAAAGACTTTTTCCCATGTTTCTTTCTAAGTGTTATAGTTTCATGTTTTACGTTTTAGTTCATGGTCCATTTTGAGATGATTTTTGTATAAGGTATGAGGTTTCAGTCAGGTTTGTTTCTGTCCTTATTTAGCCTGTGGCTGTCCGATCGCCCCTGCACCAGGGGTTGGCCGGTTGTCCCTCCTCCACGGAGTGGCCCTTGCCTTCTGTCATGATCAGTTAAACACATTTGCGTGGGTCTGTTTCTGGTTCCCTGGTCTGTCCCATTGGTCTCCGTCCCCATGCCCCACCAATCCCACACCGTGGGTCACTGTAGCTATCTCAGAAGCCCCGTATTAGGGATACGGATTCATTCCTCTTCAGTCTTCTTTTTCAAGGTTGTTTTAGCTAATCTAGAGCCTGTGCCTTCCCATGTAAATTTTACAATTAGTTCATTTATGTCTATAAACATCCTTACTGGGATTTCCATAGGGATTTTACTAAACCCATAGGTCCATTTGGGAAGAGTAACCTCTGCTTTTAAAGTCTCACAAATTTGCAGTGTGCTGTGACCATCACGTAGTGGTACAGAGAACTCTGTTTGCAGTGTAGACAGAAGCATGGTGATGCCTCGATCCTGGCATGCCTCCCGAGTGGCAGCGAGACTGGCTGGAGCCCTGCAGCCACTCACTCGAGGGTTCTGATGATTGTTCACCCTCCAGACACACAGCCGAGATCCGCGATGCCTTCCTCACCCTCCAGACACACAGCCCAGGCCACTGCGATGCCCTCCTCACCCTCCAGACACACAGCCCAGGCCACTACGATGCCCTCCTCACCCTCCAGACACACAGCCCAGGCCACCGCGATGCCCTCCTCACCCTCCAGACACACAGCCCAGGCCACTGCGATGCCCTCCTCGCCCTCCAGACACACAGCCCAGGCCACTGCGATGCCCTCCTCGCCCTCCAGACACACAGCCCAGGCCACTGCGATGCCCTCCTCGCCCTCCAGACACACAGCCCAGGCCACTGCGATGCCCTCCAGACCCTCCAGACACACAGCCCAGGCCACCGCGATGCCCTCCTCACCCTCCAGACACACAGCCCAGGCCACTGCGATGCCCTCCTCACCCTCCAGACACACAGCCCAGGCCACCGCGATGCCCTCCCCCCCACACAGCCCAGGCCACTGCGATGCCCTCCTCGCCCTCCAGACACACAGCCCAGGCCACTGCGATGCCCTCCTCGCCCTCCAGACACACAGCCCAGGCCACTGCGATGCCTTCCTCCCTGATGAAGTAAAATGGATACAGATACAAACTAGACCATAACCTTTCATTAAAAACCCACATGATGAACTTTCTGTGATTGATTTTTACGTTAGTTTTTGAAACGTTGTTGCCACTTTTGCTTTATTTGTCCTCATGCTTTGGTGATCTGGGCAGCGCCTTGGTTCTGTTGATGGGGAAACTCTCAGAACTCAAGTACCTGGTTCATAAAATGCCTAGATTTAGATCAGAGCTTCTCCCAGGAGTACTTCCCACTTGGCCGCGCTCATGGAACACTCCAGCTCGTCTTCGTTGGTCTGAATCAAAGATAACCTTGTTACAGGTGTTTGTGTTTTTGCTGCGCAATATTCGATCGTGCTGTACTTTGCCACTTCTTTGATCTGCAGTTAGAACATTGAAACCTGACCTGGTCTTTCCTTGGTCCCAGCAGAATGTCTGGCAAGAGTCTTTTCCTGGAACCACGTCCACATCCCCTCATCTACCTGTGACTAGATGAGCAGCTTGAGGGAAGCAGTCCCACACGACAGGCCGGCTTTCACGGAGGAGCTTTCCATTGACCGTCCTTTCTGCTTTGTCCTGTAGGTTGGGGACATTGTCATGGTCAAGGAGGATGAGACCTTTCCCTGTGACTTGATCTTCCTTTCCAGCAACCGGGGAGACGGGACGTGCCACGTCACCACCGCCAGCTTGGACGGAGAATCCAGCCATAAAGTAAGGGGCCTTTCCGTTAGACTCCAGGGCAGGATCTTCCTGTCGTGCTTCAGACTATGCCTTTGTGGCCACAGAAACTAACATCCTGTTTGAAAAGTCAGCGTTTTCAGTGTGTACAATGAAAACCTAGGGAGTTATGCCAGCCAAGTTTTTCCTCACTTTTCCTTCCTCCTGTTTTCCACTTTCTTCTTTTTCCTTTTTCAAAATAAATTGTATTGTGTGTATTTGAGGCATATATTATGATGTTATAAGATACATATTTTTATAGAGAAATTGTTATTCGAGTTCAACAAATTAACACATCCACATCTCACATGGTTTCCCATTCTCTTCCCTGGCACCCGTGCAGGAGTAGCCATAACCTACTCGATGCGGCAAAACTCTGAGCCCAACATGCTCGTGTCCACTCAGTGCAGCAGAAACCCAGAGCCCAACACACTCTTGTCAGCTGTAGTCCTCATGTTGTACGTTGGGTCTTTGGATGGTTCATCCTAAATATTGCTACCTTGTGTTCTTTGACTTACACCTCCCCATTTCTTTCCCACTTTTTCTTTCCACTCTCAATGTCTGTAACAACCAATCACCTCAGGTTAACAGAAATAACTTCAGTGTTAGCCTGTGTCAGTTAGCTAATGTGTCAAATTCAGGATTTAATGAATAGATTGTTGGAATTTTAAGAATTTTGTTTCTACTAGTTAAAATTAATGTGAAAACTGGCCTAGAATTATGTGAAAAGTCACACGCAATTCTAGATTTTGCCTGTTACTTCACTGAGTGTCATTTTTGTGAATGTAATCAGGATTTTAATCAGGATTTTCTGAAATTACTACCTAAGTAATTTCCTGCACTCAGTATAAAATTCTGCACAGGCAGTTGATGCTGCAAGAATTTTAATTGTCAATCATAAAAGATACAGCACCATTAATTTTAAGATTCTTATTATTTAAAAAATCTGGAAGTTTCTAAGGAGTTTATGAAAGTGAGCATAGCTCAGTGGATTCAACTAAGTCATGAACTCACAAAAGTGCAACTCTAAAATGGTATTTAGGTAATACCTGTGGGTATAAGCCATTTCTACTATGAGATAGAGACATTTTCTGTACAAAATCACTGAAGGATATGCTAGTCTTTCATAGATAATTCATGATATGTATCAGGAATTGAAAATCCTGTGGACTTTTTTCAGTTAAATTTGCTTTCACATTTTCTGTGTAGCATATCCCAGAGAATGAACACACTAACATAATAGATTGTCAGCAGCTTCTGGGGGGTTGGAATCCCTGGATGATTCAGGAATTCATTGTAAGTGGCTGCTGGTCCCTCTGGAACCTGGGAGGAGGTTAAGGTTCCCTCTACCCAGAGACCATGTGAGCCCTTCACACTCTGCAGCCAGTGGCTGTCTTTGCACCCCTTTCCTGCAGACTGTGGCTGGTCAGGCTCAGACGAGTCCCAGCCATGCTAGGGAACAAATGCTGTGGGCCTCCAGATGTACCATGTTTGTCCAGATGAAATGTTGTAGCAGTTGTGGAAGATGTTAAAATAGCTAGTGCACTTTGACCTTTTCTGGCTTTGCAGTTTGCATAATAGTTTTGTGTTCTCTAATGTCATTTTTGTGCATTTTGTTTAGCTGGAGGGACTGGAATTATTTGAACCCTTTCCTTAAAAGCAGGGTAGGGGCGTGGGAAGGGTCCAGCGACTTCTGCTGGGATCCCGTGGGGCTCACGTGGCTGCACAGGCTTGTTCACTTATCTGGATTCTTCGCATCTGTGAGATGGGGACAGCCCTGTCTCCCAGGGGCTCTTGTGAGGGTATAGTTAGAGAATTCCCACTGAATTTAGAAAGTAAGCGCCCCCTGATTTGTGCCCTTGGTGATGGAGCAGCAATCATTTACCCCTGACCCCCATTTGTGCGCTTGGTGACGCAGCGGTGACCGTTTGTGCGCTTGGTGACGCAGCGGTGACCGTTTGTGCGCTTGGTGACGCAGCGGTGACTGTGTCCCCGTGATTTGTGCATTTGGTGATGGTGCAGTGATTGTTTCTCTCGTTTGTTCTAACTCCTGTGTTTTATTTGTCCAGTACTCTTCCACTAGAAAGAAACACAGGAAGGGATTCAGAGATGCTGTTGCCTCTTCCCAGATCTCTGGGCACAAGTTTCTCCTCTCTCCTCCCAGGGCAGGGCCAGTGCAGCCCTCATGCCCACCTCAGGTCCGCCCTCAGCCCCCTGCTCGTGCTCACAGATGCTACTGAGGTCACCAGGCCTCAAAATGTGCTCTGGGAGCAGCAGCATCAGCATCACTGGGCACCGTCTTAGAAGTGCAGTTCTCAGGCCCTCCCTAGCCCCGCTGCATCAGAAACTCTGGGGCTGAACCCAGGAATCAGGGGCTTCAGAAGCTCTGGGTAAAACTGACGCACACGCAGGCTTGGGGAGTCTCCTGGCCCAGGCCACGCGAACAGTTAAGTAGAAGGCGTTTGCCACCCAACAGCGACGGGCACGGGCAGCTTGTTGCGGGGTAGTGAAAATGAAGTGAAGTGAAGTGATCCCGTGACCACTCCCCGTAAACAGCAGGGCATTCTGTAAAAGCAAAGGGATATTTCAGGTCTTGGATTTGTTTCCTAATTAATAGCTACTGGCTACTGCTTTGACAGATAAATCAGTGTCCACACTTGAAGAATTTGAGCATTGCTCCTGTCCTGTTAGTTTTAAGTTGAGGACACTGGGTAAGAATGGAAGGATTAGAATTTTCTGGCACCTAATAGATGCGGGAATAACAGTAGTACCTTATCTTCCTGTAACTATCGAACGTGTACAAACTCATAGGGTCAGCCAGGCTTTGTAATCACTTGGTTGGAGGCAGCAGTGTCTGGGTTTGTGTTGACCGTTTTGGCGGTGAGCTCACACGTCTTGTGCATTTGTAGACGCATTATGCGGTCCAGGACACCAAGGGCTTCCATACGGAGGAGGATATCGGCGGACTTCACGCCACCATCGAGTGTGAGCAGCCCCAGCCCGACCTCTACAAGTAAGAAGGGGCTTCGGGTTCTTTAGAAACGGATTTTATGCCCTCAATGTTGCTCTTGCTTTTCACCCCAGGTAGTCCAGCTATCTGGTGGTTTGGAGAGAATGTAAATCACTGCTTAAAGATTAAGACTGAGTCAAAAATACATCGCTTATTTATTCTCATAGACTTGTACCACTCAGATTTGTAGCTTTTTATACAAATGTTTGAAGTGACTTAATGGAACTATACTTGTGGGGAAAAAAAAGGATAAGTTTTCTTTATTTTGTGAAAGACGTTTGTCAAATGTGGGTTAAGGAAAATCACTGAAGCCATGGGCTGATCCCAACAGAAAGGATGACAAGGGAAGGGGCTGGAGCGGAGCTGGTTTAGCTGCACGTGGAGCAGGCCGGGTGAAGACGCGCCGCTCACAGCGGCCTCTGGAGACAGGAAGGCGGGCAGGCCAGGCGCGCGCTTCCAGGGGGCTGCTGGGCGCATCTAGTCAGTAACGTGGCTTTTCTGTCACCAGGTTTGTGGGCCGCATCAACGTTTACAGTGACCTGAACGACCCCGTGGTGAGGTGAGTGCCTCTGCAGATGCCTTGGCCATGGTCATCTCCCTTGGTGCATTAGAAATGCATTCTTTGACAGACGAGGGTTTCTACGGCAGCTGCTCTAGTGGATTTGGAAGGTGGAGCTCCACTTTCCCACAGGGCCAGGCTCCACTCTTGTCTCTGGTTTGTCTCAGGCACACATCTGTGAATGTTGACACCTTAGTGATGCTCATGAAACAAGGGTTTGCCCAAGACTCTGCCCAGAGGGTCGTCTCACAGGCCGGGAGGCGTCAGGGTACCATGGAACAGTTTCATAGTGAAGGGCAGAGTACAGCTTCCCTGTGAGAAATGCCGTCTCATGATTCGGGTACTGATTTGTCTTCAGATGTGAGGTTGAAAGACTTCTAATTTGGAGGCCATTTTTGGGAGTCTGTTCATCCACTTGCCATCATTACTGGGGTGCGTTACTGGCTCAAGGCCTATCTGAGGCTCACACCTACCTGAGAAGGTGGAATCGGTAGCCGGGACAAGGCGGGGGCAGCTCACAGTCGGCGGCTCTGCCTTCCCGTTCACCAGCGTGGACTCAGGGGCAGTCACACCACATACCCATGAGGAAACAGCGACCCTCAGACACCTCATCTATGGCCCCGAGGCAGCCTCAGCTGAGAGCCAGTCTGTGCTGAGCCCAGCTCCGGGCAGCGCCCAGCTCCCAGGCCTGGGGATATTTTCTCTGACATTATTTCAAGATCTAGCATTTGTTGCTGATGAGATATTTGAATGTCATAGTTGAGGGAATTGACTTTCACTAGGTTTTAAAGTCGCATCTTCTTCATAAACTCCACTTGTTAGGGAAATGATTTTTCTTCCATTGTAAGCACTCTCCGAGTTGTTGATGTGTCCATAGGTACAGCATTGAGTGTTAAACAACACATCTCCCAAACACAGAAACACTCTCACTGGGAAACTATTGCAAAGTGAATAGTTCCTGAAATGCACATCCCTGGGGCTTAGCTCCTTGTAAGTCTCCTGGAGTTACTGTTTTAAGAAAACCATGTGTGCACTTCTTATTCTTAGCATGTGTTTGTCATCATTACCCATCAGCAGGCTCGGAGGTGCTTTTGAGAATTGATAGTGGCCTTGCCTTGGTTTGCCTAAATATATACTGTTCTAAAGGTAAATTCCTTCTTACTTTGGAGAAATAACTTGTATTTCTGTGTGCCATGAGAATTAATTTGTGTTTGAATGAGTAAACAGACTTGGGTTTATTCATATTCCCTATGAGATGAATCTAAAATAGTAAACATTGCAGGTTTTTTATCTTTATAGTTAGACCAAGTTTATTGCTGAGCAACTTGGGGTGATAATTGCTAATGTATTTTGCATTTTGATACTAACTCTAGTTTCACTTTTATTTTATTTTATTTATTTTATTAGAGAGAGAGTCTCGCTCTACTTCAGTCTGTCACCAGTCTGGAGTACAGTGGCACTATCTCAGCTCACTGCAGCCTCCGCCTCCCAGGTTCAAGCAATTATCCTGCCTCAGCTTCCCGAGTAGCTGGGATTACAGCCGTGTGCCACTATGCCCAACTAATTTTTGTAATTTTTAGTAGAGACTGGGTTTTGCCATGTTGGCCAAGCTAGTCTCAAAACTCCTGGCCTCAGGTGATCCACCCACCTTGGCCTGCCAGAGTACTGGGATTACGGCGTGAGCCACCCACCGTACTTGGCCTAGTTTCACTTTTAAATATTTATGCTATTCAATAGACTTTTAATATTTAGATTATTGAAGATGTTTGTAAATTTGTGATGTGGACAGTTAAGAATTACACACCCAAATTCTCAATCCATCCAGAGTGGCATTTCTTCTTCCTTCTGTCCTAACTAGAAGCAAAGTACTTTTCCAAGTAAATTATTTTTAGACTTCCCTGAGTCAGCTTTTTTAAAAAGCTGTTTGTTTTCATAAACACTTGACAGGAATTATTATAAGTGTGTTGCAAACAGAAGCTGACAATCCTTATAACACAACCAGGCAACCCATATGCAGCCTGGGAGCTCCATCTTTAGTGACTGCCGGGCGAGGAGGTACGTGGAGCCCTCAGCCGCAGCCTGGGGCAGACACCTCCCTCTGGGCAGCTCCACTCTGCCTGTCTTCAGCCGGACGCAGTTCTGAGGTCTGTCAACCAAATATACTCCATGCATTCTACGTTCATAATGTTCAGTAGGTTCTTAACTTTCCGTGATAGGAGGACAGTAAATACAATGACAAATGGAAAGCAAACTTCAGCAAACACTTTTGACCCTTTACCCTCCGAAGCAATCCTTTGGATGTTGCCAATAGCAAAATTTATAAATTTGAATCTTGCTGCTTATTTCTCCTTTACTACTTAGGAAATGAGAAGAGATTATTTTTCCATCAGCAGGGAACCCTGTTATATCAAGATATAAGCCCCTGGTGACAGAGACCCCACTGCTGCTCGCCGTGGCTTCAGTGCGCAGAGCGGGGCTTGTTCCTCCATGTGTGAGATTTTTACGTTCTTTGGCTGTTGCTTGTTTTCCCCCAAAGTAGCCATGCCTGGACTGTCCCTGATTTATAGGTCCTCCCATTCAGAGGAGCTTTGCAGCGTGGTGACCAGTGTTTCTAATGGCCAGATAAGAGTGTCAGCCTTTGTCTCCAGGAGTAAGACTCCCCGAATCTCACTGAGGCTGTAATAGAAACAATTGAGGCTGGGCATGGGGATGGCCAACTGTAATCTCAGCACTTTGGGAGGCCAAAGCACGCGGATCACCTGAGCCCAGGAGGTCAAGGCTGCAATGAGCTGTGATCGTGCCCCCAGCCTGGGTGACAGAGTGAGACCCTGTCTCAAAAAAAAAAAAAAAAAGGAAAAGGAAACAGTTGAAGGTTGAGTGACTTTTATTTTATTTCACATCCACCCCTCTTTAGCCTTTCCAGAACATTCTGGGACCTTCCAGTGCAGCTGTTCTCAACCTGAGGCTTGTTAGGAGAGGGCTGCTGGGCCCCACCCCAGGGTTTCAGGTTCTGACAGCTTCGGACGATCTTCCTGACTAGTATGATGTTCCTGACTGTCTGCAGGTGCTGCTGACGGCACTGGTGGGGCCACCGCAGGGACCCCTGCTCTAGAGGTCTCTGGGGAGTGTTGCTGAGGCTGTCAGGCGCAGCTCAGTGGGTCTGGGCGGGGCCTGAGGTCCCATGTTCCACAAGCACTGCCAGGAGGCCCTTGCCGCTACTCCTGGAGCCATGTGTTCGTCCCCCCCAAAGATAAGACTGCATGTGTTCACATGCACCTGGATTGACTTAATCATCTGAATATAAGCAAACCGCCGTGTACACCATCTCCTCGGAAAATGAGATCTGCTGAGCAAACGAGCGGGTTTCATGTCTGCATCTTGCCCCCGTCCTGCCCGCTTGCCTTCGTGTCCGCGTGGTTTCTGATCATCGTGTCTTTACAGGCCCTTAGGATCGGAAAACTTGCTGCTGAGAGGAGCTACACTGAAGAACACCGAGAAAATCTTTGGTAAATATTTAATTAATTATTCACCATTGCCTGTAACATTAACGATGCATGAAGCAAAGTTAAAACCCGCCGCGGAACCCTAAGAGCGTTTCTTGGCGCCTTGAGGTGCTGGAGGCTTTCTGGCCGCACAAGTTCTGTCCCACTGAGATTCGGATCAGTGAATAAGTGCGGTCCTGAAGCAGCAGCATCAGAGATTACGGCTTACGGATTAAGGCCTCTAGTTTTGGATTCAGAAACAGAAAGTTGCATCCCTGAAGGAATTTATGAAATTTAGTTGTGCAGGAAATTTCTTTCATGTCTGCATTTCTTGGCTAGGATCTCCCATTTCTTGTGGGTTATCGTCTGTTTTAGTCGAGGTAACTTTTGTGTGCCCCACTGTTAGAAAATGCTGTGCAGCTGTCCCTCAGTGTCCTTGGGGGACTGGTTCCAGGACGCCTGCAGATGTCAAAATCCATGGATGCCCAAGGCCCCTATTTGCATGTAGTGTACGCATGTCCACCCCTGTAGTTCACATCATCTTAGATTACTTCTAATACCTGCCACGATGTAAATTCTAGGTACGTAGTTACGCTCTACTGTTTTTATCATCTGTATTTTGTATCATTGTATTGTTATTTTTATTGGGGATTTTTTTCACATCTTTTCCATCCGCAGTTGGTAGAACCTGCAGATTTAGAACTCGTGGATATGGCAGGCCCGGTGTATATTAAGACGGGAACTCTTGAAAAATGAAGCATAGATTGCTTCCTACGCATGAGGAAAGGTCTTTATCCTAAGGAATCAAATGCTAGTGTTACGTGACTATGGACACTAGTTTGTGAAATTAAAAATAGGATTCACTTTACCCAAGAATTGGTTTTCCCCGCAGCTGTGTGTAACTCACCATAAGGCAAGACACACTTGTGCCCTGGTCATCACGCTTGCTTTTCCTCCCTGTAGGTGTGGCTATTTACACGGGCATGGAAACCAAGATGGCATTAAATTACCAATCGAAATCCCAGAAGCGGTCTGCCGTGGAAAAGTAAGGCTCCCTGCCCTGTCGCTGGACGCGCGTGATGGAAGTAGCTTCCTCTTGGCCTTGTTGGAGGTTCCTTTACCAATATACAGCATCTTAGTAACTGCAGAGCTGACCCTTCAGAGGGACTTTCTTATTTTGCAGTGAGGTGGACGGCCACACCCCTCCTTCCTGCGCTTTCTAACGCCTGGTACCAGGTTCATGGCAGGTCCAGTGTCCAACAGCTCCTCCCACCATTTCATGAAAAACTCCAAATGGGCTTAGTTTTAACTCTCAGATTTGGTCGAAACCATGCATTCTCTGCTATGGTTTTACGAAGAGCGAACAGAGTCATCTTTTCATTAAAGTCCTGGTGATAAATACGTCGGGATGGTAGCTGAATTTGTACTGGAAAATAAAGGCTTCTTCCTGAGATCTGCTAAAACCTTAGTTAAGGATCTGTGCTTTTCCTGTACTGAGGACACTTCCTTTCAGAGTTATTTACTTTTCCTCGCCCTCCTTTCCTCCCTCCCTCTCTTCCTTCCTCTTTCCTTTCCCTTTCCTTTCCTTCCTTCCTTTACAGTGGTGGTTAGTCACCAAGTTTTGAACTAATTTGTTGATGCTTAATGGTAGAAATTGATTTCTGGATGTTCTTTTCAACGACGCAAGTCCAGGCAGTGCAGAGGCATTGTCCACAGTGTGCAGTGTGGCTGTGAGAAGCCCTCTCTCTCCTGCTTGTGGCACTTTTCCCCCTCTTGGCTCTTACCTTTGGCCTCTAGGAGTATGTGCCAGGGACCATGGCATGGGCGCAGGTACAGAGGACCCACCGTGATGCGTTGAGGGCGAACGCATCACCATGCCATTCCTGTTCTGTTTCTTCAAAGTGCAGAGCTCATTTCCTCAGGGACCAGTGATCACCTCTGTCCTTTTGTTTTAGATCGATGAATGCGTTCCTCATCGTGTACCTCTGCATTCTGATCAGCAAAGCCCTGATAAACACTGTGCTGAAATACGTGTGGCAGAGCGAGCCCTTTCGGGATGAGCCGTGGTATAATCAGAAAACGGAGTCAGAAAGACAGAGGAATCTGGTATGGACAATCACTGCCCTTGTATGATCCAAGGTGACCTGTGGGCCATTATTACGAAAATGTGGTGCAAGAAAAAAGATGAGAGTGAATTTACTGTAGGCAAAAAGCAGCCTTGATTGTTTCAATCTCTGTGATAGATGCATTCAGTGAAATTTAAAGTCTCAGTGGACACCACCTGCTCCTGCCATCTTTGGATCTGGAAAGGTAGAGGTTCCTACAGTGAAATCATCAGGACAGTGCCTTAAATACTTGCACTGTGTCCTTTGTTTAGAGGGTGCTGAGTAAATGCTTGTTAATGATTACTAGATAAATGGCACATATTTGTGGTAAATACTTGGAAAAAAGGTCTACTCCCAGTCCAGAGCAGGGCTGTGTGCAAACCCAGATCCTGTCCACTGAGCCTAGAGCGGGGCCGTATGCAAACCCAGACTTGTGTTGACTGAGCCTAGAGCAGAGCCATATGCAAACCCAGATCCTGTCCACTGAGCCTAGAGCAGGGCCGTGTGCAAACCCAGACCCATGTCCCCTCCGTCCAGAGTGGGGCTGTCTCTGCATCATCTGTCCCTCCCACAAAACTAACATGGCCCCACAGATCAGGATAAAAGTATACTGAAAAGTCATTTCACCAGGCTTAGTTTTTACATCTGTAGGTTATTACCAAGTAAGTTTGGTTGTAAGAGACTCAAAGAGATCCTGTGAATATGCGGAAGTAAAATTGCCGCAGGTGTCTGGTGGGCATATCTCCTGTCACCGGCGCGTGTTTGTCTTAACTCATGATTTAATCTCCACTTGCTGGCAGGGCAGCCCTGCAGCTCAGCCTCTGGACCCGGCGGGTCCTGGTGCAGAGACCAGGTGACCCAGTGGCTGCCCCCCACCCATCGTCCTTGTCTTTGGACTCTGAAATCTTGTATTTAGTAGTAGCATTCGTATAACTTATGTGTAAGCCTGAGGTGTTAGAGCAGCGTGCTGGAGCCCTGCTGTCCCTCCTGGCAGAGGTGCTGACCCGCACCTTCTGCTCTTGCAGTTCCTCAGGGCGTTCACGGACTTCCTGGCCTTCATGGTCCTCTTTAACTACATCATCCCCGTGTCCATGTACGTCACGGTCGAGATGCAGAAGTTCCTCGGCTCTTACTTCATCACCTGGGACGAGGACATGTTTGACGAGGAGACTGGCGAGGGGCCTCTGGTGAACACGTCGGACCTCAACGAAGAGCTGGGACAGGTTGGTGTCTCCTGAGTCCTCTGCTGTGATTTATTAGCTTCTGGGTGAGTCTGCTTCACGTGCCTCAGGTCCTGTTACTGTCGTCCGAGCGTGGCTGTCCCTGGAGCTGGGGTAAGATAGCAGCAGGGTTGTTTTGAACCCTATGTATGAAACAGTCAGCAGTGCTATTATATTTACAACGGATGCAGAATTACCTGCACTCGCCGACTCCTGGAAACTCATCTGGAGCTTCCTGGGCAGAACCGCAGAACCCTTTCTGGGTGCAGATGTGAATCAGGGCTGGTGGGTAAAAGTGGCTTTGCCAGCCTTGCACTCACTTCTGCACCTGATATTCAAGTCTCATAGCAAGCTGGGTATTTTCACTTTAAAGATGAGTAAGCCAGACTTTCAGTGAGTTGGTTGATTGCAGAGAGTTCAGACGCCTCCGTTCAGATCCTGCTGCTGCGTGATGGCTGCGGGAGCTCAGGCTTCACTGCCACGCCTCAAGTCTCAGTCTGTGAAATGGGGATGATAACAGATGCTGGCCTTGCAGGATTGGGGTGTGGATGAAGTGAGATCATAGACACAAGGTGCACAGTGCAGAGTCTGGTGCGACCGCCGCCCTGCCGCCGCACCACCGGGAGGCACACACCAGACCTGCTGGCTTGGGAAGGGAGCTGGGGAAAGACCCATTCCCTGGGTGTCCCCAGCCTAGAGCGGTGACCTTCCCTACCTTCCCAGCCTTAACGTTGCAGAGTGCAGGGTTGCCAGAGCAGGTACCAGGAAAGGGTAATTGGTCTTTTCGGAAGAAATAGAAAGCAATTTTGAGGGGCATTTTAGCAAACAAGGCCACTTTATAGACCGGTAGCTGAAATCTCCATCTCCCTCCCAGATGACAGCCTGTAAATAGACTTAGACTCCGGCAGATACAGAGGCCTCTGTCTGCCTCCTGTGAGGAAGGTGGACAAACGGAAGGATCATGTTTTGCGTTTGATGAGTTTGACTTTTCAGTGTGTTCGTCCAGCGTGTCCCATACTCCTCACAGTGGTGTGTTGTCTCAGTCAGCAATGCGCAGACGCTGATTTAGTTGCTCAGTAGTCAGGTGCTTTTACCTAGGAATATTCTATCTCCTTTTCAACAATAGATGGTACATTTTGTGAGCTTCTGATAAGTTCATTGGGAAATAACTTTTTTCTGTGGCAAGGAAAGTGCCCAGCAGTGTTGAGTACAGCAGATTTCTTCTCTGCCCTCCTCCATCCGTCTGTCTGGAGTCCAGCAAAACAGAATATGATTTCTGTCATTCTTTCCTGACCAAAACCAGGCTCCAGCCTGGAGGCTGATCTCCCCACACACAGAGAAGTGTGTACTGTTGCTCACGGGGGGACACACTGAGGTCAAGACAGGTGGACAAGCCCAAAAGGCAGGTTCATCTGACCGCAGCTCCGTGGGTAAACGCCCATGCCCACCGTCGATGTGCAGTATGATAACATGACTTCTTTTGTACGTGTAGTAGAGATTCATCCACCACTCAAGTGTCTGTGTCTACGACGAAAACAACCATCTCCCATGGAGATCCTGTGCCAGAAGTGCTTTGTGCACCTTCTCTGTATCCTGTGTGTACTTTGTGCACCTTCTCTGTGTCCTGTGTGTACTTTGTGTACCTTCTCTGTGTGCTGTGTGCTCAGTGCCATTGCCTCTGTCCCGTGGAGATCCTGTGCCCAGCACTTTGTGCACCTTCTCTGTGTCCTGTGTGCTCAGTGCCATTGCCTCTGTCCCGTGGAGATCCTGTGCCCAGCACTTTGTGCACCTTCTCTGTGTCCTGTGTGCTCAGTGCCATTGCCCTGTTTCTCAGATGAGAAACCGAGTCAGGAGCAGGCAGTGCCCTGTTCTACCATGTAGTGTTGCCTCCTGAGCACGAGTGCCTTGGAACACAAATCCTGCCTCAGGCCGAGTTGAGCAGGCAGGCGTGCATTGTCTTTTGTTGTGAGAGCTGAGGGTGATGGCAGCATTGACCGTCTCTGGGCTTAGGGTTGACTGTCCCACCACCAGAAAAGAAAATTGCAGTCCAGGACCCCTGATGAACAAAGTGTAAAAATCCTCAGCAAAACACTAGCAAACCAATTCAGCACCACACAAAAGGATCATGCACCACCTGTGGGTTGCAAGGGTGGCTCGATGTGTGTGTAAATCAGTAAGTGTGGTGCATTACGTCAGCAAAATGAAGGACAAAACCGTATGATTATCTGTGATGCAGAAAAGGCATTTGACAAAATTCAGCATCCTTTCATGATAACATCTCTCAACAAATTAGGTGTAGAGGAATGTACCTCAATACAATAAAGGCCATAGATGAGAAACCCACAGCTGGCATTGGAGAAAAGCTGAAAGCGTGTCTTCACACACAATGGAGAAAAGGTGAAAGCTTTTCCTCTAAGATCAGAAAGAAGACAAGGCTGCCCACATTCACCCCTTCTGTTCGGCATAGCGCTGGAAGCTCTAGCCAGAGTAATGAGGCAAGAAAAAGAAATAAAAGGCATTCGTATAGGAAAGGAAGAAGTGAAATTGTTTGCTGATGACACAATCTTATATATAGAAAAGCCTAAAGATGCCAGCAAAAAGCTTTTAGAACTAATCAACAAATTTGCTAAATTTGCAGGATACAAAATCACCCAAAAGTCAGTAGTGATTCTATATACCAAACAACAAACTATTTGAAAAAGAAATCAAAGACTTTCACAAACTTGTTTAATATTAACAAAGCAAACAATCTTATCTCCGTGTCCTGAGCTAACAGAACTGACTGGATTTGTGTCCAGAGATTTCAAGCTTTTGTTTCCACGTTCTTGAAACTGGGATAATAACATGGTTGATGCATTCATCACAGTTGAAGATTAAATGAGGCGCTGCCCAGTGGCTGGACACTCTGAGTGGATAAGAACAACAAATGTTAAGCTCAACAGGAGGATAAACCAAAACCTCTTAACATTTGTTGTTTCGTTCTTACCCATTTTACCTTTTTAAAAATGTTTTTAGGGCCTGGCGTGGTGGCTCACGCCTGTAATCCCAGCACTTTGGGAGGCTGGGGTGGGCGGATCGCCTGAGGTCAGGAGTTCAAGACCAGCCTGGCCAACATGGAGAAACCCCATCTCTACTAAAATTACAGAAATTAGCCAGGCGTGGTGGCACGTGCCTGTAATCCCAGCTACTTGGGAGGCTGAGGCAGGAGAATTGCTTGAACCTGGGAAGCGGAGGTTGCAGTGAGCCGAGATCACACCACTGCACTCCAGCCTGGGCGACAGGGTGAGACTCCATCTCAAAAAAATAAATAAAAATAAAATTACTTTTGCGATTGAATAAGAGTTTATTCTGAGTTACTTTAAAATCCTGTGTAAGAAGGGTACACAGGTTGAATATCCATTGTCCAAAGTGCTTGGGAAAGAGGCGTCCCCATGGGCACGTCCGAACTCAGTCTCGAGATACTGCCGCTGTTCCAGAATTCCCACCTTCAGTTATTCACGATAAACATGTGACCCGTGAGCTTATATAAAACCAGAGTTTAAGACGGGTTGTATCTTTAACACATATTACAATTTTCTCCGAGGTTTGTTTTGTCCTCATTCGCTTGAATTTTACCTTCTCAACCTTACATGGCATTGTGGGTTTTGACCTCCAAGACTTTAGAGTAAGTTCGTCCTCTCCGTAGCCTTGGTTTTTATTGTTGTTAAGTAAGGTTCGGGACGACCCACTCACACTCTGTCTTCCCAAACAAATGGAGCCCTGGCCCCACCCGTGTCTCCTTCCGGGGAATGTGACTGTGAGACCACACTCTGTTTTGTCTGTTTTGCTCCCAACCCAGAGAAGGTGCCCCGAGGCCTCCCCACCCGTCCTGAATCGCACCTGCCAGGACTGCTGGGTCCTGCTGGACGCTGGGAAGAAGGATGGGGCGGGAGTGTGGCTCGGCCCGGTGAGGAGTCTGTCTGGGGGAAAACCTTTAGAAATCCACTGCCTATTCAAGTCGCAGTGGGAGCTGGGGAGGAAACAGCTGCTGTGTGTCTGGCTTGGAGACGGGCCTCCCTCAGAGCGTCCTGACTTGCTGTGCCCTGCCCGCAGGTGGAGTACATCTTCACGGACAAGACCGGCACCCTCACGGAGAACAACATGGAGTTCAAGGAGTGCTGCATCGAAGGCCACGTCTACGTGCCCCACGTCATCTGCAACGGGCAGGTCCTCCCAGAGTCCTCAGGAATCGACATGATTGACTCGTCCCCCAGCGTCAACGGGAGGGTAGGTGGCAGCCTCCACGCTGTCCAAGTGTGTGAGTGAGTGGGCGGCTGTGCGTGCATGTTGAGTCCAACCCTTTTCACTCGAGTGTCCAGGAAAATCCACCTCCTCTCTGTGGACTTCAGTGGGAGGGATGGTCAGAAAGTGCCATGTGTGCGGTGTCCCATTAGGACACATCTGCTCGGTGATACCCATGTTAGAATTGGTTCTGAAAACCGTAGAAGCAGGGCAAACACACATGCATGCACCCAGACACCATGTGCACAGACACGCACACACACTCACATGCAGACACTCGCAGACACACACTCTCCCTGAGCCCCGTGTGCACATGCTTACACACACACGTACTCATGCCCAGACACCGTGTACACACACAGACACATACAAACGCACACACTCCCTGACACCATGTGCACACATGCTTACACATAGACACACCCAGACACCATGTGCACACACAGACACATGCACACACGCTCACACGCGGACACACACACATACTCACACATGCCCAGAAACCGTATGCACACACAGACACACTCACATGCAGACACACACATGCACTCTCACATACACCCCGAGTGCAGTGGCTCCAGATCTCAGCATCTCTGGGCAGGACTGGGGTCCCAGGCTGACGCCATTCCTGAATTTTCCCACACACAGGGCAGCCTTGGGGATCAGGTCCCAGCTGGCTGTGGCCCTGAGCACATCTCTTCACCTTCCTGAATGCTGATTCTGCAGCTGCAGGCGCAGGATAATAGCTCCTGCTTCTTAGGGGGTTTCAGGGTGAACGTTACGATGTGAGTCAACAGCAGGAGTGCCACTGTCATGTCTAGTCTAACACATGCTTCGGTTAGGAGCATGTCCCCATCGCGCAGGCACCGGGGCGGAGGCACAGCCAGGGTCCAGCATGTTTGTGGATGTCTGTGTTCGCGGCACCGTGTGACTCAGTCTCCCTGGACGCTCGTGGTTGTTCGCCATTTCCGAGTGCACGTGAAGCCTCTGTGGTTTCTAAACGTGTTGGTGCTGAAGAACACACGCCTGTTTCAGTCTTCATCACCCGTCAATTTCAGTTACCACAGAGCGCTTGAGAATGATGGAAAGCCGTAATTCCATCCCACCGTATAACCCCTCACCGCCTGCAAGCTGCCTTCGCGGCTGCAGGGACCAAACCCCCCTTCGTGTTTTCTGTCTGTGCCTATTTCCCTCTATCTTCAGTGGATGCATAGTGATTTGTGGGTTCTGGGAACTGCTTTTTCATAGGAGCGCGAGGAGCTGTTTTTCCGGGCCCTCTGTCTCTGCCACACTGTCCAGGTGAAAGATGATGACAGTGTGGACGGCCCCAGGAAGTCTCCAGACGGGGGGAAATCCTGTGTGTACATCTCATCCTCGCCCGACGAGGTGGCGCTGGTCGAAGGTGTCCAGAGGTACGTCTCGGGCCGAGGGTCTGCCTGGGTTTCCTGATGTGACTCAGCCCCACCCTGGCCCCAGTCAGGGACTTGCATCTGGAGGCGTCCTCAGCCCCACCCCATGCCCTGCACACTGAGCTCTGCTGCCTTTGCGCCCAGGTTCTGGGGACTCCCGTCCCTATATGAGCCCCTCCCACCGTGATAAGCAGTGTCTGGTCCCCAGCGCATGAGTCTTCAGCTCTGACTTTTCGTGGCTGGCTTTTCTTCCTGAGGTCTGCAGTAAGTTAGAGGTCATTCCAAATAACCACGGGCTTTGAAATATGGAAACAATCCTTCCTTTAACACAAATATCCCTCCTGCATCTCAGAAAACTGAAGCCCAGAGGCCCAGCAGCCTTCCCAGAGCCACAACCTGGGTGGGGCAGAGCAGAGCTAGTGCACGACCTCCCACCGCCCACCTTTTAAGCAAACGCTTGGAAAAATACTTTAGGCATTCCAGATACATGGATAATTTCAACTCAGGGAAGCCGTTTTCAAATCCACCCAGCTCATGACTTCTGTAATACCGAATCTCCCCTCTCCAAAAGTAATAAACGGACACTGCCTTCAGGGACTGAGTGTGGTGAGAATCATGTTAGCGCTTCTCCCCTCATTATAGCCATGTTTTTGTTGCTGCTAAACTGATGTGTTTTCTCTGTGCAATTTGAGCAGCACAGATACGTCAGCAGTATCACTGGGGCCCTTCGTTCATGCGTAAACCCACACATGTGTAGTGAGGCTTCCTGGAGCCGGGTTTCTCTCTTCTTGGAACACAAGTGCCCAGGAGTGCCACTGCCTTCATCACAGGTGTTAGAAGTGAGGGCAGGCTGCCCTGCCCGCCTTTGAGACTTGTCCCCGCCCTGAAGCTTTTCCTCCAGCCGCTGCTCCCACCTGGGCTGGCCAGAGGCCTCCACTCCCATCCCCCTGGTGCTGCGATGATGGCCGCCGCTGTGCTGGGAAGCACGTCTTCTCCCGGGTCCTCTGCTGGCCTCTGGCATCCCGAAGCCATGCTCTGTCTCTGCCATCCCAGCGGCTCCCACAAGGCCTTGAAGGTCGCTGACCCTCAGGCATGCAGGAGGAGGCATTGCACAGATGGGTGCACCACGTGCTGGCTGAAGGCCTGCGCTGGGCCTTGGTTCCCCGTTGTGACTCAAGGGGCTTGGTCTGGGGGTCACAGCCTCTCAGAGACCCTCTCCCTCTGGCATCGTGTTCTCTGCTCACCAGCAACAACAGAGCCCACGAATCAGTGAGCAAAGGTGTTATCGAAGCAAGGATTGCAGGCCATGTGCCCGCCACTGTCTGCTGGAGAACAATTAATACTGACAAGAAAGTGCCTCACTGCTGCGTACCAGGGAGGGCTGGGTTGGGCAGAAATTCTGTTGCTCTTGGAAGATTTTTTGAGATGGTAAATAAGTTCATAATGATAATTTCCTAACTTTATAATGCAGTTTATAATCTCTGTTTAACTGAAAGTATTTCTTTTTTGAAAAGAACGCTTTACCAAAATACAAAGCAAATAGTGCAAGAGGAACATCAGCATCTCAGATTCACCCTGAGGTTTCCCTTCGCATTGCAGACTTGGCTTTACCTACCTGAGGCTGAAGGACAATTACATGGAGGTATTAAACAGGGAGAACCACGTCGAAAGGTATGTGCAACTCGCCCTTAGATGTGAAGGGACTAAAGAATCAAGAATGTTCTTTATAAGGTTCTGTATTTGAGGGAAAAGACAAGTTCTCTATGTTCTCCCGCAATTCGCTTCCTCTCCTTCCCAGTGACAGCCCGGGAATGTTACCAGATGTTCTGGAGAAGTGCTGGACCATTAGAGAAGGGCTTGGGTTCAGCCACAGGGTTGCTTCCCCTGGATGGTTTTTCTGAAATCTGACTCAATAAGCATGAATGTGCGGTCACCGTTCCAGCAAAGACACAAGATCTGGTGGTGACGACCTCAAAACACCTGGATTTTAAAATTTCATTCTTAGGGAAAATAAACTCCCCAGTGGAAGGGAAAGGACAAACCCCTTGATTCGGCAGGGGCTCCCGGGCCCTCCACTGGCACCAGCTGTGCCCTCCCCACAGCTCCCTGGGCTTTCCGAGGTCTGGAGTGACCTGGGCCCTCCGCTGGCACCAGCTGTGCCCTCCCCACAGCTCCCTGGGCTTTCTGAGGTCTGGAGTGACCTGGGCCCTCCGCTGGCACCAGCTGTGCCCTCCCCACAGCTCCCTGGGCTTCCCGGGGTCCAGGGTGACCCGGGCCCTCTGCTGGCACTGGCTGTGCCGTCCTTACATCGCCCTGGGCTTCCCGGGCTCCAGGGTGACCCGGGCCCTCCACTGGCACCGGCTGTGCCCTCCCCACAGCGCCCTGGGCTTCCTGGGGGCTGCAAGTCACTGCTTTTGAGGCTCCGGGTTTGCAGCTGTGGAGGCGGTGAGATCGTGGACTAGATGAGACCCCCCATCAGGGCTCTGCCGAGGAACCCCTGGCTCCGAACTGGGCTGGCACTGTGGCCAGAGCCCCTCCTCAGCTTCCCACTGAGTCCAAGGCCCTGAGGAGACTGAGGGGCGGCAGCAGGGGCTCCCAAACACTTCCGATGCTCCAGACGCCACACAGGTTTTCTGAGTCTTCCGGTAACAGGACGGCACCAGGCAAAACGCCAGTGTCCTTTGCTTTTTCCGTGGTTTTGATCTCTTAGGGTGACGCCGGTTCATTGGCAAGGATCCGAGCTCTGACACAACTTTGAGTCTGTTCAGCAACGTTTAGGGAGGGAGTCGGTGCATAGGGAGCGTAGCCTGCTTGGCAGAATGTGAGCCCATGCCCTGGGTCGGGTGGGGACGTGGTGAGGAGCTGGTGCCACAGGTGCCACGGGGCCCAGACTCTGCCTCACTGGTACACCTACCACGTCCTTCAAATCCAGGTCTCTCAGGGCATCCGTGTGAGGACAGCCCTCACCCAGCGGCCCTCGTGTGTCCCCTGACGAGGGGCCAGGGTTGCCCCAGCCATTCTGCTGCGGAGAGCTTCGCAGCTACCAGATGGAATCGCGTGAGGACCCACGTGGACAGTGTGACCCTCTGCGTTTCTCTTTCAGGTTTGAATTGCTGGAAATTTTAAGTTTTGACTCAGTTAGAAGGAGAATGAGTGTAATTGTAAAATCCGCTACAGGTAAAATTTCTTTTTCTTTTATTAAGTTATACATGGTGGTTGTGTTTTATTCTGATAACTAAATTCTACAGGACCTTTAAGGATTTAGCGTTTAAGAATGATTTGTTCTTTTTTAAAAGAGTATAGACAGATCCTCTCAAAATGCTATTTTTTTATTTTTAAAAAGTGAAACATTTCTGAAATGCTGAGGAGGGAGTCCTGGGCTAAACACCCGGCACCCTTGCTCTGTCCATCTTTTAGTGTCGAGCTGGGGACACTTTACTGTTGAAAATTGCTTAACTGCATTTGTGAGTGTTTCTCTGCCCATCCCTACCCCCACCCGCTTTTCTCCATGCAGAGCTAAATGACATAAAATGTTTTTAAATAACCACTTTCAAGGAAAAGGTAGTGTGGGTTTGCAAATGTATCTGTAATAATGTTCAAAATTGCAAAGTGAGCTTTGTTGATTGGCGGTTGCCGTAACAGTGTGTCTGTGAGAACAGCACACTTGGTTTGTGCTCCGGAAAGCTGGGGTGAGCAGTGGCGGGGCGCAGTCAGGGCCCTGTGGCCGCCGTGATGTTTTGGTGACCCACATGGGTGGGCACTCTCCTGGTCCCCCCACTCTGACCTGTGGCTGCCCCTGTCCTGGACAATTCCCTCTCCAGTCCAGGTGGACACGTCTGTGGTCCCCTGACCTCCCTGTAAGGGACCCTCCCCGGCACTTTGCATCCCCCATGCACAGGTGGACGACCTCGTCTCCCCCCACTCTCACCAGGTCACGTGGGATATGACATGTGCCACAGGTCACTCAACAGTGCAGCCCCTCAGGCTCCCGCCCACAGTGCTGAGGCTCGAAGGCGTGGGCGCCCCTGGCTGTTTGCCCTGGACAGGCAGGGCCCATGGGCTCCGTCTGCAGGGGCCACCCCTTTGCGTGGCCATCGCTTCCTAAGAGCTCCCACCCGCCGGTGCTGAGCTTCTCCCAGCATCCCCTCTGAGGCTCTCACCCACCTTCATCGCCAGACTGTCCCTAAGTGTCCCCAGAGGGCACTGCGCGCACCCCCCACAGTGGCCTCATTCCCTGCTGCCTGCAGTGCTTTCCCATAGCAAGGGCCTTTCACCCATCTGTCCTTTCCACGGACGGCTCAGGAAGCCTCTCCCAGCCCTCAGCCCCACAGCCGCGTGCGGGACGTTGCCCTGTGGTGGGGCTGTCCGTCCGTCCGTCTGCGGCCGCCGGCAGCCCGCACGCATCCCGAACGCAGAACCGATGCTCTTCTCAGCAACACGCTCACGTCACGCCACCCTCCACCGAGTGCTCCCAAATCCTGTGCCCTTGAGAGCCCAGCATCGGAGCGGGGCTTTGTCGAGAGCTGTGGGATCTCACTCTTCATTGTTTCCTAAAACCGGACAATCCCAGGTTGCATTTAGCTCTTTGGGAAGATGCCTGGCAAACAACCAAACAGCCGCTCCCAGGAACCAGACAGACTCCGTGCGGAGAGCTCCGTGCAGCATCTTCCTAAGACGGCCGAGTCTCACTTTAGCACAGAGTAGATGGAGCAGGGCCTTCATCAGAGCCGTCATCAGAGCCGTCGGGCTCGCTTCTGATCAGGACCCTGGTGCCTCACTTTCTAAGCCCTGGAAGGAGCTGTGGGGGGCGGTGTGGCTCTCAGTGATGCCCTGTGAGTCATAGCGGCTCCGGGGTGGGCAGTAGCCTCAGGAGGGTGCCGTTGCTGCTCTGGGGGCTGCCACCTGCCTCCGCTGGTTCCTTAGACACAGTCCCGCCGCATCACCTCTGAGACATGCTGTCGAACGTGGGACGAATCCGGGCTCCACAGTGAGACGTCCACTGATGGTCACAGGACGAGGAACCGTCTGTGTGTGAATGTTGCCAGGACTCCCGTGAAGACCTTCTGCCAGCTGCACCATGGGATCAGCAGGACGGGGTCTGAGAACAGGTTCCAATGCGTGAGACCTCTGTGTGTCGGAGCCCTTCCCCCCGGCTCGGATGAGGCGCGGTCCTGAGAGTCTCAGCCACTTGGAGTTATCTGCAATAAACGCATCCTGGGTAGGAAGTTCCTGGTCCATCCCATCACGCGGTTTTCCCTGTAGAAGTCGAATCTGGCTGTTGAGCCGTGACTGGAACATGCTGCCCGTGACTTGCGGGGCTGACCACAGTGCCCAAGAAGGCAAGCATCAGCCACCCTGGAGCTGCCCCTGCCACGCGCTTGGCCGCCCCTGCCTCACACTCACAAAGGGTATTTGCTGCATCCTGAATGCCCAAGACCTCAGGGCTCATGTTGTGGGCTACGCCGCAGAATCTTTGTAAATAACTTCTGTTACCATCAAAAGGCTGAAGAGCTACTGGATCACTTGAAGAATCCAGGTTGGAGGCATTTGTGCCATGAGAATATTCCCATCCGCACGGGGACGCTTGTGGGCCTCCTAGGGCCTCTCTGAGGAACTGAGAACTTGCAGGAGAGACTGCCCTGCTGTCTGAAGCCAGCCGCTCATCAGTTACTTTGAAGAGAAGCTTGAATATGTAATTAAGCAAGGTGTTCTGTAAGTGGTAATCCTCCCTGGAGAGGCACACTAATTGCACTGGAGTTCTGCCTGCTGGGCGGGGAGACCCGGCAGCCAGCTCACAGCCCGTGTTTCCCCCTGGGCTCAGCCCTGCGTGGGGGTGCGGCTGTCGGAGCCGGATCTCAGTGTTGGGGGGCTGGGCAGCCCCAACAGGGGCCTCCCATTTTCGGATGTCTGTACCTCAGTCATGTGCTTTCCTGGGATTCTCCGCAGTGGAATTTTGAGGGAGGACTTGGAAGTCACAGGCTGCTCGGCTGCATCAGGCACTCCCTTTCAAAGGGAGATGTGAAGTCTTTCTCTTTGGGGGGATCCTGCGGATGCTCACTGCACCCCAGGTAAGATGCACGCAGTCCATGGAACACCAACTTGAAAGAAGAAAGGGAGAGTACGTAAGCATATTCATCTATGAAAAAGAAAAGCAGAAAAGACGAAAGAGAAGAAGGAAAGTCCTAACCGTGCACCCTCCTAGAGCTCCTCTGGGAGCAGCTTCCTTGGTGCCCTGTTTTCCAGCCATTTCGAGGACATTTGCTGTCATGCCTGGCTTTCCATGTCCTTGAGCTCGTCTGTGAGACCCAGTGAGAGACCCCCCACCATGGGCTCAAACTGAGGTTCTGTAGCCCTTTCTCTTCTCCAAATGGCACTAAGCCCTTCTTGGTCCTGGAGGGGACAGCCACCAACCATGGCTGCACCTGCGACACAGCCCGGCTGTCTTGGGGACAGGATCCTGTGTGTTCGGTCGCGTCACCTGCGTGTGCACGGCTCTGCAAAGCAGCTGCAAAACACGGTCTTCTGTTGCTCGTTGTAGATTAACTTTTGCTCTGTCCTCTGGGTTTTTTTATTCCAAGGCTGTTCCTGACCAACTCTTCAGGCTGAAGGTGTCCTGTGTCTTACAGCAGAATTCACAAGCTGAAACAGTGGGAAAGTTAAGCCATTCACATGCTCTTGGCATGAGTTGTGAGCCATGAAACATGAATTTTCTAGTAAAAAATGTGCTGCTGTTCAAGAATGCATCATTATGTCATCTGGACCATCGTTATTCTAAACTGCATCTGATGACACCACAGCATTGGCTGGAAACCGTGGGAGTCGGGAAATGGCTCCGACATCGGCTGGGTGGTTTAACCCCCGGGCCCTGCTTTTCTGTGCTAAGCAACTGAGACTCCGTGGTCACACCTGTGCAGTTCTGCAGGGGCCCTCCAGGTTCCAGCTCTCAGCCTCAGCCTACTCACTCCCCTGTCCCCACCATCCCCCACCTGCTCACTCTCCCATCCCCTGTAGCCTCAGCCTCCCATCTCCTCCAGCCTCAGCCTCCCCACTCTCCCATCCCCTCCATCTCCCACCTGCTCACTCTCCCATCTCCTCCAGCCTCAGCCTCTCGACCCTCCCGTCCCCTCCATCCCCCACCTGCTCACTCTCCCATCCCCTCTAGCCTCAGCCTCCCATCCCCTCCAGCCTCAGACTCCCCACTCTCCCGTCCCCTCCATCCCCTACCTGCTCATTCTTCCATCCCCTCCATCCCCCACCTGCTCACTCTCCCGTGCCCTCCAGCCTCAGCCTCCCCACTCTCCTGTGCCCTCCGTCCCCCACCTGCTCACTGTCCCGCACCCTCCAGCCTCAGCCTCCATCCTCTCCCATGCCCTCCAGCCTTTGCTCGGCACCGGTTTGCTCCGTGTATTGGCAACACCCGCATCACCAGGTGCCATCCTCTCTGGCTGCAGGTTGGCAGTCACCTCAGCCACGTGAGCGTCAGGTGTAGCCGTGTTCCACGGCTTCCCTGTCGGTGTCTCAGGAGTTAGCGCTTCCTGGGATCCCGGAAGGAAGGCAACGTGGACCTGTTCCTACTCCTGAGTCCTTGTCCAAGCTCCAGGCCTTGGATCCGGGTCGTCAGCCTAGGAGCATCCCCTCCCCACGTCCCTCCCACCACCCCCCTGGGGACCACTGCCTGCCCACCCTGGGCCCTCTGGATTTGGTCCCCGATAGACTTCCCGAGGGACCTCAGTGTCTAGGGGTCTCAGGGCTCTCTCTGCGCTGCTGGGAGCTGGGCATGGAGCTTCCTAAGCGTGCCGCTCAGGCTGCTGTGGTGCTTCTCCCACCCTGCTGTCGCCGAGATGGAGTACCGTGGCGTTTTCCTGCGCCCAGGCACAAACCAGCCACCTGGCAGAGTGCCACGTGGCTTCGCAGACCAGGGGATGCTTCAGGAGCAAAGGGGGCTCTGTGTGTCGGGAGCAGGTCACATCACGGCAGAGCTGTCATGGCCTTTGCTGCGTGCTGCAGTGCCTGAAAGAGAAACTCGCTTTATCCGAGGCCTGAGAAGCCCGCGTTCACGGCAGAAGTACGTCCACAGCAGTCGCAGTGTTACGGGAGGCGTGGGAAAAAATGACGCAACATTTCCTGTGACTCTTCCAAGTTTGGGGGTGGCCCGGCGGCCTCGCTCTGCGTGAGGACACATGGCTCTCCGAAGGGGATTTGTGTTCACCTTCCAGCATTTCAGAAACCATGACCCGCTTTGGGTCACCCCAGCCCCCGTCCCGAGGGCGTTTTATCCCCTTTTGTGTCTTTCCTAGAGAAAAGAGAGGCCCGGAGCCAAGTTCTTTTCCTGGTTCCCGCCTTTCCTGTGAGATGTCTAGGGTTGTAGGAACAAAACGAGGCTTTGGAGGTAATCTGTAGGTTTTATTTTTTTCCTGACTGTAACATGTTAACTGATCCATTAAAATCTTCTTTAAAAAGGTTTCCACACCGCAATCCCGGTTGTTGGTTTTTTAATAATGGCATAATTTTAAAAATAATCTAGTCTTCCCCATATTGTGATTAAACTCCTCGTTTTTCTCATTTTGTAGGAGAAATTTATCTGTTTTGCAAAGGAGCAGATTCTTCGATATTCCCCCGAGTGATAGAAGGCAAAGTCGACCAGATCCGAGCCAGAGTGGAGCGGAACGCAGTGGTGAGAGCCGGGCTGGGGAGGGCCTCGTGGCAGTCAGCACCCCTGTTGTCAGGAAGGAATTCCATGTGCCACAGGTTCCTGGCTGGGAATGGCGTATTGTATCCCCTGGGGAATGTTCAGAAATAAGGGGGGCCAGATGCAGACAGACAGGCAACTTCGGCCGACATCTACCCCAAGGGGCCTCCAGTGCCCAGCCAGGCGCAGGCCGTCTCCTCCCCAGCCTTGCAACAGGGTTTTATTTCGGGGTGGGTGCGAGGTTGGTTGATTGATGTTTTGGGGAGTCAGAATTAGCACGTTTGTGGTCCTTGTATTGGAGCAAAAAGGTCTTTGTCTTGACGTTTCTAGTGATTTGCTTCAAAACAAGTCAGTGCTTTCATTTTCTGTTGTGACATCACCTGTTCGGGTTTCTTTCCCCATCTGGGTCTTAAGCCTGTACGATAAGGTTTCTTTCCACCACTTCTTGTGTAGCATTGCCCAGCGGCCCGCACACCTGAGCTTGCCACTCTGCGGGTCTGGCTTTCTCTCTTTGGGGCTGCTGCAGTAGGGGGATGGCCTGAGTGTCTCTCACAGCAGGGCCTCCCCTCCCCGTCAGACATGTGGCTCGGATGGATGCACTCCCTCCCGTCAGACGCCGTAACACTGGGCGACGCGTGGCTGGGTGACACGTGGCTGGGTGGACGCGCTCCCTCCCGTCAGACGCCCTAACACTGGGCAACGCGTGGCTAGGTGACGCGTGGCTGGGTGACGTGTGGCTGGGTGGATGCGCTCCCTCTGCTCTCCATGTGGCTGCTTTGTGCCACGGCGTCTGCACCCTTCTCCCGATGCCACCCTGGGGTCTTCTCCCTCACTCCAGCCCAGGGCAGCCCCTCGTCTCACACCGTCTTCATCTTTTCATGAGAAGGAAACGGTGACTGACAGGCTCTCCTCCCAGAGGTCCAAAATGACGCTGGCCGGAATGGCTACGCACTGGGAACAAGACTTCCAAGGCTGGCTCAGCACCAAAGAAGGCTGAGCCAAGAGAACCTCGGACTAGAGGCCATAGTGCTCAGCGCTGCCTTCACTTACATTTGTGAATAAAGCAGCCTTTGTCCTCACTGTCAGTCTCAACACTTGATTACTGCAGATGTCAGAGCGTTAAGAATTGCTGCTGATGGACAGGAGCCCTTTCACGTGTGAGCCTGCGCTTGCAGCAGCCAGAGCGGCTCTGAACTGTGTGGAATGCTGTCAGTGTGCAGATCATTCACCTTTAAGTTGCTGTTAAAACAACAACTAGCACTACAAAGTAGCTGCCTTGGAACCAACAGGAATCCATAAATCAGCAGCAGGTTTAGGATTGTTGAACTTCTCCGAGCGGGATCCGCAAAGTAATAGCACTGACTTCCTCCAACCACAGAGTTGCGGCATGAAAGCCGAGCAGGTTCCTCTGAGTAGCACAAGCGTCCTTCTCATGGATTGTGAATTGTGATGATTTTAAAGTCCCTTTGCTGCATGTTTTCAGAAAGCCTTCTTGAGATGTAATTGCCATACATTCATCTATACACATTTAAAATGCGACAGCAGCAAGGGCGTTGACACACGAATGCACACGTGGAAGCGTTGCCTGTTGGGACGGGGACGCTTCCCTCACCCCAGAGACTGTCTCGCGCCCTCATATTCCCATCCCTGCCAACTCCCACCCACTGCAGACCACCGCTTCACTCGCCATCACTACCGATTCGTGTCCACCTTCTGGAGCTTCCTATCGGCAGAATCACAAAAGGTGGCTGTTTCATCCAGCGTCTTTCACTCCCATAACTGCTGAGACTCGGCCATGTGGGCCTGTTCATTTCTGTTGTGATGAACAGCAGCACTCATTTGGTTGCCAAGTGCTAGCGGTACTAGTCCAAGTGCTGGGCACTAGCGGTACTAACCAGTCCAGTTGCCAGGCGCTAGTGATACTAACCAGTCCAGTTGCCAGGCACTAGCAGTACTAATCAGTCCAGTTGCCAGCGGCTAGCAGTACTAGTCCAGTTACCGGGCACAAGCCATAGTAACCAGTCCAGTTGCCGGGCACTAGCAGTACTAGTCCAAGTGCCAGGCACCAGTGGTACTAACCAGTCCAGTTGCCAGTGCTAGTGGTCCTGACCAGTCCAGTTGCTGGGCACTAGTGGTACTAACCAGTCCAGTTGCCAGTGCTAGTGGTCCTGACCAGTCCAGTTGCTGGGCACTAGTGGTACTGACCAGTCCAGTTGCCGGTGCTAGTAGTACTAATCCAAGTGCCAGGCACCAGCGGTACTAACCAGTCCAGTTTCCAGGCGCTAGTAGTACTAGTCCAGTTGCTGGGCACTAGTGGTACTAACCAGTCCAGTTGCTGGGCACTAGTGATACCAGTCCAGTTGCTGGGCAGTAGCAGTACTAACCAGTCCAGTTGCTAGGCACTAGTGGTACTAACCAGTCCAGTTGCCAGGCCCTAGTGGTACTAACCAGTCCCGTTGCTGGGCACTAGTGATACCAGTCCAGTTGCTGGGCACTGGCACTACTAGTCCAGTTACTGGGCAGTAGCAGTATTAACCAGTCCAGTTGCTGGGCACTAGCAGTACTAACCAGTTTAGTTACAAGGCGCTAGCAGTACTAAGCAGTGCAGTTGCTGGGCACTAGTGGTACTAACCAGTCCAGTTACCAGGCACTAGTGGTACTAACCAGTCCAGTTACCAGGCACTAGCGGTACTGTTCAGTCCAGTTGCCAGGACTAGTGGCACTAACCAGTTGCTGGCACTAGCGGTACTAACCAGTCCAGTTGCCGGCACTAGCGATACTAACCAGTCCAGTTGCCGGCACTGGCGGTACTAACCAGTCCAGTTGCCGGCACTGGCGGTACTAACCAGTCCAGTTGCTGGCACTGGCGGTACTAACCAGTCCAGTTGCCGGCACTAGCGGTACTAACCAGTCCAGTTGCCGGCACTAGCGGTACTAGTTCATTTACCGAGCACTTGCAGTACTGGTTTTTTCTATGGATGGCAGTTTCTTGATTCTTCCGCCTGTTGGCGGACATGGATTGTTTCCATTTGGGGCTGTTGCGGAAGCAGCTGCTGGAGGTCGCCTGCTCTGCGTGTCTGGGGCTGGTCCGATGTGACCTTTTCTCCTGGGGACCCTGCTGTCACAGCGTCTGCATTTCTCTGTCCACAGCTTCCCTTTTCTGGCTGCTTTTGAGGTGTTTCGTGATGGGATGCCTTTGTGGGGTAATGTGTTTCTTTGCTCAGCAGCCTTGAGCATCTTGAACCTGTGGAGTTTCATCAAGTTTAAAATTTTTCAGCAATTATTCTACAGATATTTTTCTTCCCCACTCCGTTTCAGCAGTTCCAGTGACCCATGTACTCGACTCCCGAACGTTGTCTCATTGCTTACGAAGGCTTTTCCCTTTAAGTTTTTCCACGTGTCATTAGAGACAGTTTCTGTTGCCACGTCACGAATCTTTTCCATGCAGCGTCTAACCTGTCAGCGCCCCACGCAGGACACCCCTCCCCTCAGACGTCGGAGTTTTCATGTCTAGAAATTCCGCCAGCATGTTTTGTATCCTCATTCCCCTGCTTAACATGGGGCGTGTGTGATCCAGTGGCGGTGACTGTTTAAATCCTCCTCGCTAACGGCACCCCTGCTGCCAGCTCTGGGCCAGCCACCGCGGTTGCACAGTCCCCTTGTTTGGGGCAGGGACGGTGCCCCTGCATGCTAGCGGCCTGTGAGCTTTGTTGGATTCTGGGTATCATGGTCCTCCTGGAGATCTTAAATCTTGTTCTGGGGCGCAGCTGAGTTCCTGGGAAGCCCTTTCTGTTGCTTTCGGGCCACGCCTTCACGATGTCCAGCAGACCCACAGCAGTGCCTGCCCCGGGTGGTGCTCCCCAGCCTGCCAGGCCCCGAGCGCTGTGCCTGGCGCGTGGCCGTGCCTCCTGGCAGCAGGCTGTCCCACCCTCCTCCTAATGGCTTGTTCCTGGCTTCCAGGAGCTTCCTCACAACTGCAGGTGCCAGAGGGGGCCATCCACAGCCTCTGGCATCCACTCATCCTGGGAATTCTGATGCTTGTTCCCTTGACGCCCAGGTCTGCCCCGTAACTCAGGGAATTCACCGGCTCCGGCTTCATTCCCCTGCCCAAGCCTTGGCCTGGAAGCTCTCCGGGTAGTGAGCTGGGTCTGGGTAGTGAGCTGGGCACTTGTAGGGCCCCCTCGGTTGGCAGCATTTATTTTGAAATAATTACAGATTTAGGAGAAGTGACAATAAGTAAAGAGACAGTCCAGAGGGGCCTGTGTGTCCTTCGAGTCCAGTTGATTTCTCCTTTCGGTGGTTGTGCTTGCTGTCAGCGCACGTCGAGGAAACCGCTGTGAAATCCAGGATGATGAAGATTAGCCACTGCTGTGTGTTTTTCTATAAGTTTTCTAGTTTTAGCTCTTAAATTTAGGAGTGTAGTCCTTGTTTGGCTAATTTTTGCATCTTTCGTAAAGGGAGGGTCCTACTTGGTGCCCCTGTGTATGGTTGTCCAGTTTTCCTGGCACCGTTTGGGGAAGACTGTCCTCTCCCACTGAGTGATCCTGACACCCTTGCTGAAGACTGTCCTCTCCCACTGAGTGATCCTGACACCCTTGCTGAAGACCGTCCTCTCCCACTGAGTGATCCTGACACCCTTGCTGAAGACCGTCCTCTCCCACTGAGTGATCCTGACACCCTTGCTGAAAATCATTTGACCACTTACCTGGAGGTTTATTTCTGGGCTGTCTGTTCCATCCCATTCTCTCTACGTCTGTCTTTATCCCAGTTCCCACTGTTTTGATTACTGTCAGTTTCTAGCAGGCTTTGAAACCAGGTTGTGCGAGTCTTTCAAATTTGTTCTTCTTTTGTAAAATGGTTTGGCTATTCTGAGATTTAATAGGAATTTTAGGATGGGCTTTTTCATTTGTGCAGAAAATGCCACTGGGGGCCAGGTACGGTGGCTCATACTTGTAATTCCAGCATTTTGGGAGGCTGAGGCAGAAGGATCACTTGAGGCCAGAAGTTTGAGACCAGCCTGGGAAACATAGCAAGACCCTGTCTCTACAAAACATACACAAGGAAAATCAGCCGGGGTGGTGGCACACACCTGTGGTCCTAGCCACCAGGCAGGATGAGGTAGAAGGATTGCTTGAGCACAGAAGTTTAAAGCAGCGGTGAGCCACAATGGCACCACTGCATGTTACCATGGGTAACTGAGTAAGACCCTGTCTCAAAAAAAAAGGAAACGGAGGGAGGGCGGGAGGGAGGAGCCCTTGGGATGTTGATAGGGATTTCGTTTAATCAGTAGATCACTTTGGGTAGCGTTGTCATCTTAACAATGTTAAGTCTTCCAATCCATGAACATGGGATATCTTTCCATTTATTTAGGTATTATATAATTTATTTCAGCAAACTTTGGTATTTTTCAGCCTCGAGTCTTTCACCTCTTTGGTTAAATTTATTCCTAAGTATTTTACTCTTGTTGATGTGATTATAAGTGAATTTTTTTTTAATTTCCTTTTCAGATTTTTCATTGGTAGTGTATAGAAATGCCACTAGTTTTCATGTGTTGACTTTGTACCATGTGTCTTTGCTGAATTCAGTTAGTAGGGGGGGCACATTCTTCATGGTCTTCTAGATATAGGATCGTGTCGTCTGCAAATCGGCCTTAGAAAGACATTCTTTCTAATGTGGAAACTTCCTTTTTCTCTTCATAGCCTGATCCTCTCACTAGAGCGTCTAATACTCTGTTGAATAGAAGTGGCAAAAGCGGGCATCCCTGTCTTGTTTTGATCCTGGAAAGCTTTCAGTCCTTCACCGTGGAGGGTGATGTGAGCTGTAGGTTTTTCTTTCTTCTTCTTTTTTTTTTTTTTTTTTTTTTTTTTTTTTTTTGAGACAGAGTTTTGCTCTTATTGCCCAGGCTGGAGTGCAATGGCGCGATCTCGGCTCACTGCAACCTCTGCCTCCTGGGTTTAAGCAATTCTTTTGCCTCAGCCTCCTGAGTAGCTGGGATTACAGGCATGCACCACACCTGGCTAATTTTTGTATTTTTAGTAGACACGGGGTTTCACCACACTGGCCGAGCTGGTCTTGAATTCCTGACCTCAGGTGATCCGCCCACCTCGGCCTCCCAAAGTGCTGGGATTACAGGCGTGAGTCACTGCACTCAGCTGGGTTTTTCACTTAAGTGGTTTTTACCACGATGAGGAGGTTTCTTCTCTACCCAGTTTATTAAATGATTTTATCAACAAAAGGGGCTGGATTTTTTTCAAATGCCTTTTCTGCATCAGTTGAGATGATCATGTGGGATTTTCCCTTTCATTCTATTAATGTCATATATTGCGTTGACTTTCATATGCTGACTCACTTTTGCATTCCTGGAATAAACCCCACTTGGTTGTGGTGTAGGATCCTTTCAATGTGCCATTGGATTCAGTTTGCTAGTATTTTGTTGAGGATATTTGCATCTATATTTCTAAGGGATATTGTTCTGCAGTTTTCTTGTAGTGTATTTATCTGGCTTTGTTTTATGTGCTGTGTCCAGGGTTTTTGTAGCACTTAGCAGGAGGAATAGAGAAAAGTATTTCTGTTCTGTGTTACCACAAGAGAAAGTCCCTGATTGACTTTTAAAAGCAGAAACATTTATTTCCAAAAGCTTCTGCTTACCACTCACAGCAACCTAAGTTCTGGGGCCACTCTGGGTTATTATCCTATAAAACCATTTTCTTGTTATGCAGTTTTTCCGGTTTCAGACTGAAGCTGTATATGTTGTATGTTTTATTGCCTCTTAGGAAAAGTCAGAGAATTCGTTCTGCAATTCGCATTTATGTCTCCAATCTGTACCTTGATCACCAGGTGCATAAAAGGTCTAATTTCAGCCACTTACTTATTCAGCAAAAGTTGTTGGGTTTGGGCTGTGTGCTAGGGATTCAGTGATGAAGTCAGACACAGTGCCCACAGCCAGAGAACCCAGCGCCTAACAGTAGAGGCAAACCCATGAGCAGAAAGCTGCAAGGTCGTGTGCTCAGCAGGAGGTGAGGCTGGGGCGGCTGAGCAGTGTTTGTTCAGTGCTGCTTTCCTCTGAGACAGGTCCACTGGCTTCTCACTTATTCTTGACCAGGAGACAATATCTGGAGGATGGGAAGGAAGGCGTTCAAGAGTGTTCCTAGAGAACAGGACTCAGGCACACATAGACCCTGTCTTGTGTTCTCACTTCTTCAACTCCCCCTTTCTCCTTCTGGCTTTTGAGAGCTCAAGGGCCATGAGAGCCATTGACCCGGTGGCAATTCTGTCCTTCACACGAATTAAGAGGTCTGGAACTGGTGATAAATACGAGCCTTCCCTGAGAGTTAGGGGACGCTTCATCTCATATAATGGAAAACATTGATTAAACTCTTAAAAACTAGCATTCTCTCAGATTTTAAAATGGTTATTTGGGAGGATTGTGGTTCTTTTACTCTCAGCAGGGCTGGGGCTGAAGGAGCAGGGAAAAGGGAAGGGAAACACCCTAGATCATCCGGTAAACCTCTGTGACGATCGCCCTCAGCAGCCTTGACTGACGGAATGAAGAGGTTCATCTGTGAACCGCCCCCTTGTGGCCGCTTCAGCCTCTGCCCCCCTTCCTTGTGTCTTGCTGGTGGCGGCTGCATCCTCTCTGTGTGGTGACATCCAGAGTCGTGATCACAGTAAAGAATGTGTGATTCTTAATTTCTTATGTTCCCGTGCAACCAATGATTTTCATAAATAACCTGGCAGGTTTCCTTCATTGTGAAAGAACAACCACCTTACAAACTTCCCGCATAAAACATGGTTACTTTAGAAATATCACTTGATATTGCCCGTAAAATTACAAGTGATTATCCTTAAAAAAAGGTTCAATTTAACTCTGCATTTGTCAAAGTAAAGGAATGAAGTTTATCTTTTGGTAGATGACCCTGATTTCTGTTACTGATTTCCAGGCTTTCTAGTCTGTGATCCATATGCTGTGATCCGTAATGATTCTTTATATTTAATGTGGACTTAAATAATTCACTTGTTGATGACTTACTCCTTTCGAGAGTTGGTTGAGTTATAATCTTTCTTTGTTTACTTAGTACTGTAAGTTTCGAAAGGGTTACAATTCCTGGGTTAGTTATTCTAATGAGAGAAGGGATACTGGGAAGGCCATGGAGCGTAATATTTCAGCAAGTGACACCTTGAATTTATGCTAAACACTGCGTTGTATTCTGCAGGAGGGGCTCCGAACTTTGTGTGTTGCTTATAAGAGGCTGATCCAAGAAGAATATGAAGGCATTTGTAAACTGCTGCAGGCTGCCAAAGTGGCCCTTCAAGATCGAGAGAAGAAGTTAGCAGAAGCCTATGAGCAAATAGAGAAAGATCTGATTCTGCTTGGTGCCACGGCTGTTGAGGACCGGTAAAGTAAACACAAACTAGGATGCAGGCCGCTGGCCCAGGGTGTGTGAGGGCGAGTGGAGGGGAGGGAGGCCGGCCGCACAGCCAGTGGTGTGTGTGAGGGCGAGTGGAGGGGAGGGAGGCCGGCCGCACAGCCAGTGGTGTGTGTGAGGGCGAGTGGAGGGGAGGGAGGCCGGCCGCACAGCCAGTGGTGTGTGTGAGGGCGAGTGGAGGGGAGGGAGGCCGGCCGCACAGCCAGTGGGCGTGTTTGCTGCCCAGGGAGAGGCGAGGTGTCTTGCTACACGCTAGAGTCATGTCGGGAACGTCATGCCTGTGGGATATTTTGTTATCCATGAATAAGATGCCTGAAAGCACACTTCCCAGGAAGTAGTGAAAATAGCTTTTTCATATCATGAACAGGCAAGACAGAAGGACTCTTACAAATTCTTTTTTTTTTTTAAGGGATGGCATCTTGCCATGTTGCCCAGGCTGGAGCGCAGTGGCACCATCACAGCTCACTGCAGCCTCAAACTCCCAGGTTCAAGCTGTCCTCCCTTCTCAGCCTCCTGAGTAGCTAGAACTTCAAGCACATACCACCATGCCTGGCTAAGTTTTCATATTTTTTGTAGAGATAGGATCTCACTGTGTTGCCCAGGCTAGTCTCAAGCTCCTGGCCTCAATCAGTCCTCCCACCTCAGCCTCTGAAAGTGCTGGAATTGCAGGCACGAGCGGTCATGCCTGGCTGTAATTACCCTTTAGAATGGAATCAACAACTAACTCTGTTCCTAAACTTGTTGCTAGTTCTTTCCAAATACTGGTATTACTTCTTAGATCATTACATACTCAATGTGTTTATCATTATTTGAAAAAACTTAAAATAATGAAGTAGAAAATTAAACTAGTCATCGTCATAACCAGCAAAATTACCAATTACAGATTTTCAGGTACCTCTAAGGCAAGAGTTGCCAGTGTGCCCCAGCTCCACAATGGGGACTGAAAGTTGTGTGAGGCCGAGGCCACTAAGAAACAGTCGTCAGGTCCACATGGCACCTTCAGAGCTGAGTGAAAGGCAAGGATTTCAGTGGTTTGTAGGAATGGAGGAGAGAAAATAAATGCTCCAATTGATGAGAATGAAGCAGAAACTTCAGGAAGTTTACTAGGAGTTTATCTCCTAGAAGTTAAAAGCATCAAGTTTGAAAATCTTTAAGATCCATTTCGGTCCAAAACTGAAATCCTCATCACTAACCCTGCATTTTCTGAGTGTGTTGAACAAATATTCCCCGAGTTCTCGATCTGAATGGAGTATTAGGTGAAGTGGGAAGTTTTGTTTGGTGGTTTTGTGTTTTGTTTTGGAGTCACGCTCCCCCATTCAGTCCGGAGTAAGCACACGGAGCACCATGTAGAGAATGAGCCTTGCACACGGGAAGGCTTCAGAGCGCGGGGCCACAACCGCCGAAAGGCTTTGTTGCTGGTGCTGCTGGGAGGTGGGGCCTTGCTGTCATGGCCAGCCACTCACCTGCTGTCTGTCCAGGAGAAGAGGGGTGTCCGTAGGACGGTCTTTGCCTGGGGAGCAGCTGGGTCGATCTTTAGAGGCCATGGTGGAGGAGCGTGGGGATGCCTCCAGCAGAGCAGATGGGACAGAGCCCCTGGAGCAGGGGGCAGGTTGACTTGACTGGATTGGGAATGTAGAAAAGTGGAGAGTTAATGCCTGGTAGGGGGGCGGGGGGTCTCAGTGGCTTTGAAGTGATGAGACTTGCTTATAAATTATTTCCTTAAAATCTCTAGTCAGCAAGTGCAAAACATCTCTGAGCTGCAGCTTCCTTTTGAATCGAGTTCTAGGGCCAGGCCCAGTGGAGCACGCTTGTAAACAGGGCCAGGCCCAGTGCAGCACGCTTGTAAACAGGGCCAGGCCCAGTGCAGCACGCTTGTAAACAGGGCCAGGCCCAGTGCAGCACGCTTGTAAACAGGGCCAGGCCCAGTGCAGCACGCTTGTAATCCCTGCACTTTGGGAGGCTGATGCTGGAGGATTGATTGAGGCCAGGAGTTTGAGCCCAGCCTGGGCAACATAGTGAGATCCCATCTCTTGAATTTTTTTTTTTAATTAATCAGGCGTGGTAGCAGTCACCTGTTGTTCTAGCTACTTGGGAGGCTGAGGAGGGAGGATCACTTGAGCCCAGGAGTTGGAGGCTGCAGTGAGCTGAGATCATACCACTATACCCTAGCCTGGGCAACATAACAAGGCGTTCTCTTGCTCTTGTGCTCACTCTCTCTTTCTCTCTCTCTCTCTCTCTCTATATATATATATGCACACACACATATAGATACGCGCACATATATATACACATACATACACACACACATAAAATTAGAGGCGTTTTTTCCATCTATAGAGTACTATGATTGTCTGATCTTGAGACTTTTAGCTAGGAAGTTCTTCCCAGAAAACCGGATCATTCCAGTTAGAATTTAAATCCTTCCTTTCATGCTTTCCGGAAGCATTACATGTTCCTTCACATGAAAGTCTAAAACCTAGAAAAAATGCTGGCCCCTAAATGAGGCAAACGTGGTTTTGACCCCAGATCTTCCAAGGAGAGGGAAGTGACCTGACCGGTGTCAGAAGAGCTGCTTATCCCCAGATACCTTCTGTAGCATCTGCAGGCTTTGGGTTTTCCGTATGTAAAACGGGTGTGATGCTAACGTCCTTACTCATGACATCGTGGTAAGCATGAGAGATTGCACATAGGAAGTGTCACATGGGCCTGGCACGTGGCAAGCCCATGATACCTGTTGGCCATAGAATCACTAGTATTATTCTCAGTATTTTATTTTATTTAGAGGTACCTGGACCCCAAGTGGGTTCTAAGTGACAAACTTAGAACAGTTTATACAAAACAAAAGATAATGAATATTCCTGACTACCTTGAGTCCAGATCCCATCTTTCCATGGTTGAGACATTTTTGGTGGTGGTTATAATTTCCTGAAACCCTCCCCAGGTAGTGAGTCCCAGCTCCACAGAAAACTGCCAGGCTTGTCAGACGTCAGTGACACCAGACAGCGCTTTCCATCTCAAATGTTTGATCCGTGTTTATCTCTCTGCTGTTACGAAGTGTTTCGCTGTGAAACACTAATTCAGACCTTCAGGAGCCGCTTCAGGTGCTTTGTGGTAAGACCATGAACCACAGCACGGCATGTTTTGATTTTGAGGGGCTACAATATTTTGTCAGCTTTGCAAGTTTCTGCAGTTCCTTATTTGGATTTCCTGGGTCAGCACTGACTTTTCTCTGTGTTGTGTTTGGTTTTGCCTCCCTCAGGCTGCAGGAGAAAGCTGCAGACACCATCGAGGCCCTGCAAAAGGCCGGGATCAAGGTCTGGGTTCTCACGGGAGACAAGATGGAGACGGCCGCAGCCACGTGCTATGCCTGCAAGCTCTTCCGCAGGAACACGCAGCTGCTGGAGCTGACCACCAAGAGGATCGAGGAGCAGAGCCTGCACGACGTCCTGTTCGAGCTGAGCAAGACGGTCCTGCGCCACAGCGGGAGCCTGACCAGAGACAACCTCTCAGGGTAGGCAGCGCGTCCCCACCCCCACCCCCACTCCCTCAGAAGGGGCTTCAGACTCAATGGCCTTCACCTGCAAGTGGGGGAACCGCATTGTCCTTACTGGGAATTCGGTTCTCCCCTGGGACATTAATGCCAGCTTCTTACGGGTCAGGTGAACACTAAGAACAAGACAGGCTGTTTTTTCCAGCAGTTGTGACGTGTCTTTTTCACATACGTGTGTGTATGTTCATCTTCAGACTGCTGGGTAACAGATGCAAAATGACATAATTGATAAAATATTTTGAGTGGGATAATTCTCATCTGCTTCTGAGACTTAGGGGCTCTGCTGCAGGCACCTTCAAACATCTGCTGGCGGAAGTGGAGATATTAATAATGCATGGTTGTTCGTCTAAGACAAAGCAGTACATGCCCAAGAGTTGTTTTTTTCCCAATAATATTCAGTAGTTTATTCAGATACATTTTATTGATGCTGTCCTTACTGGTGTTAGATGCATTATCTGAGATTAGATTTTATTTGAATCATTTCAGTTTCATTCATGTACATAAAGCAAAAGCAGCTCTCTAATTTACACAAATGTTAAGTTATTCATAAATAGCACAGATAATTCCCTCTACCTGATCTGCAATCTGCAGAACTCCTTTTAGGGATTAGAGGTGTTCCTTGTTTGTTTTCTTTGTTTGTTTTTTGTGTTTTGTTTTTGAGATGGAGCCTCATTCTGTCGCCCAGGCTGGAGTGCAATGGCATAATCTTGGCTCACTGCAACCTCTGCCTCCCAGGTTCAAACAATTCTCCTGCCTCAGCCTCCCAAATAGCTGGGATTAAAAGCGCTTACCACCACACCCGGCTAATTTTTGTATTTTTAATAGAGATGGGGTTTCACCATGTTGGCCAGGCTGGTCTTGAATTCCTGACCTCAGGTGATCCGCCCGCCTCGGCCTCCCAAAGTGCTGGGATTACAGGCGTGAGCCATCGCATCCAGCCTCCTTGTCATTTTGAAACCCAGCAAAGAGGAGATTATGACCACGTTCTTTCCAACTTAGGTCATCCAGGCAGAAACCCAAGGACTTAGCTATACAGATAAAGACTGTGACCAAGTAGGTTGAGAATAAAGACTGACCAAGATCTTAGACTGCAAGATGAACGCCTTTCTGTTGTTTCAAAAGTACAGGGACTTAACGAGTCCACAAAGAGAGTGTGCACTTGCTTTACCTAAAATAGGAATGTTTCACTAAAATACACTCTTAAATGTCAACAAAGGTGTTACATTCAATACTATAAAGATTGTATTGATAAGAAACACTAGTTTCTTAATCCCATGGATTTGTAGCATCTGTCAACATCCAAAGAAATACGGAGTCTTCTAAAATCTCTAGATCTAGTGATTGAGCGTCTTTCTGACTCACGTCCTTTAACAGACTCTCAGCAGATATGCAGGACTACGGCTTGATTATCGACGGAGCTGCGCTGTCTCTCATAATGAAGCCTCGCGAAGACGGGAGTTCCAGCAACTACAGGGAGCTCTTCCTGGAAATCTGCCGGAGCTGCAGCGCGGTGCTCTGCTGCCGCATGGCACCCTTGCAGAAGGCCCAGGTGCTGCCTGCCCGTCCTCGATAGCTGGTGATCAGGGTATCCGAAACACTGGAAACCTTCTGTTAGGTCTCACCACCGTGGATTGTTAAAAAGCCTAGCAGGGTACCACCTGTTAAAAAGAGAAGTAACCATGGTAGAGATTTAAAACACAGATCTCGTTTTGCTTGTTGGGCCAGGCTCAGTGATTAGTGGGTGTTGACCAGTCTGACGTGTGACCCTTCCAGATGTAGCGGCCAGGACAGCTGCCCTGGCTGAATTCTGTTAAAAAAAGCTGCCTCAGTCACTCCTGAGAATCTATACTAAAGGTTTAGGGGAAGGGAGCTGACATTACTGAGCACCTAGTGTGTGCCTCCTACAGACACAAATGCTTTTAGCCTCAAACTAACCCTTTCGGGCGAATGAGGGCACCAGCTTTACAAATTGGAATAATTTGCCCAAAAGGCTGCAGTTGGGAAATGCCACGAGGATTCAACTTGTCCATCAAACTGCAAACGTCTCACGCGCCCATGTTCTTGTGGGAAACACACACCGAAGTTTTTTCTTTAAACACTTTTAAAAGCACTGTGGAATACACGTGTAAACATGGATGTCTTTCTGATATCAGGAAGCCTAGAAAAGTCCCAGCTTCGTTATACCACATTTTAGACACGATACGTCAATTTCTCTTGAACTGTTCATGAGTAAATCCATAACTGGTCAGAGCAACCCAGTGTTTAAGGTAAAAAACGTCTCACACAAACTCTGGAAACCAAGGAGGTGAAGAGTTGAGAGTTTGTGCCCGTGGGTGCATTAATCTGTCAATTTTGCCAAAAACACGGAGCCGGGGTCCTCAGGACGACAGCTGAGCCTCGAGCATTCACAGACCTTCCATGTGGGGAAGACGGTGCGACGTTCTCCTCTCCCTCACATGTGTAACTGCACATGAACCTTACAGGATTACTTCCCGAACGGAACAGCAACTCAGGGTTTGCCATTTGTTCTTCATGTATTCCATAGTACTTTCTTAAGTTCTCAACTGGCTTTTGAAATGTTTCATACAAATTAACTTGTGTTTCAGTTTCCTATCTTGAAACAAGAAACCACCCATCTCTTCAGTCTTATATCTTGAACTGTTACATTTAGGCACATATATGGGGGGAAAAAAGAAATTGACTAAAAACTTGGAAATTATTTTTACATAAAATTGTCATATTTGATTTTGCACTTTACAAATTTGAAAATTAAAATAGCATTAGGAATAGTTTAGTTTTAGAAATAGATGCTTTATACCAAATAGCTTGAAATACCTTGGAATAGTGATGCCTTCTAACAGAATCCAGGGTTCACATTTGCCCCTGTATATTTAAATGTATTTTCCCAGTGTTTACACATTTTTCCATATATTTAAATAGATGAATATAACAATAACCACAAACTACTTCATATATCTCACGTCTGTACCGCCAAAGTTTGTCTACCAGCCTTTTCCAGCCCACGTCATTTTAATCATACTTCATTTCTTTTACTTTATTTTGTTTTGTTTTCAGTATGAAACAAAGTTTTATCCTATATGGAGAAAACAATGTCGTAAATTAGCTCAAGTAGATAATTTTTTCATTTGCCTAGGCTAACTTTACATCTTCATTATTTCTGCCTAGTGAATGAATAACCTGTTCAGAAGTGGAACAGTGAAGATAAATGCTGCCTTTCTTTCTTTTGCAGATTGTTAAATTAATCAAATTTTCAAAAGAGCACCCAATCACGTTAGCAGTTGGCGACGGCGCAAATGATGTCAGCATGATTCTGGAAGCGCACGTGGGCATAGGTGAGCTTTGTCCTTGCTGCCGGCACGTCCTGTGGCCAGGTCACCCCTCCGCTAGACAGAGGTCCATGGCAGCATGCAGGTGCATTCAGGACACCCCCGTCATCACCCTCGTGTGTGACCAGGAAGGCTCGTGGTGATGGTTTCATCCATTCTTCTCCCCGTCCCTGCCCTGTGTGTGGTGTGCGGAAAGCATTTCCTCAGCTGCTTCACCTCCGTCTTCTAGGTGTCATCGGCAAGGAAGGCCGCCAGGCTGCCAGGAACAGCGACTATGCAATCCCAAAGTTTAAGCATTTGAAGAAGATGCTGCTTGTTCACGGGCATTTTTATTACATTAGGATATCTGAGCTCGTGCAGTACTTCTTTTATAAGGTAGGCGGATCGCCGCTCCCCCTCACATTTTCAGCAGCAGATCACACACAGGCTGGCACGACCCTTGTCTGAACCATTTGATGGCACAAGAGGTCATTGATCTCTAGGTAGCAGCGATTGTCAGAAAGGAAGGGGTGAATCTGATTGCAGTCATCTCCCGCTTAGCCGTGGCTTTGCTTTTTACAGTTTCCATTACCTACAGTCAACCCAGGCCCAAAAATATCAAATGGAAAATTGCAGAAATAAACGGTTTCTAAGTTTTAAATTGCATGCCATTCGGAGCAGCGTGATGAAGCCTCATGCCGTCCTGCTCTGTCCTTCCTGGGATGTGGCTTGTCCCTTTGTCTGGTGTGCCAATGCTGTGTGTACACTACCTGCCCCTCAGTCACTCTGTAGCTGTCTTGGTGACCAGGTTGACAGATCACAAGAAGAAGAATGGTGAATACGACCCGATAATATATTTTAAGAGGAGGAGGGAGAGACCAAATTCATGTACCTTTGATTATGGTATATTATTATAGTTATTCTCTGTTTTGTTGTTACTCTCTTACTGCGCCTACTTTATAAATAAAACTTTGTCATGGGTGTGTATGTGTAGGAACACCCATACCTGTCTACAGTGTAGACAGGGTTCAGGACCTTCCGCAGATTCTTCATCCTCCCCGGGTCTGGGAATGTACCCCCGAGGATGAGGAGGCCCTGCTGTGCCACGGGAGACCCCCAGTCCTTTTCTCCCCTCCACAGAATTGAGTGTGGAACCAATGAGAACCTTTCAGGTGGAAATGTTTGAGGAACGGTATTTTAGAATTCCTTATTCACTGTGTAGTTCGATTCTTTTCTGTTTATACTGATACCTGCATTGCCTTCTTGTTTCTCTTGGAGCTGACAAATTTCCCCAATACGTTGTCTGTCCTCAGAGTGGCCAGAACGTGGTCACATTTCCGTTGCCCCTGAAATAAGAGACTTTCTAGAATCCTTTAGTGCTATTCTCCCGCACTCTGGGCACACGTGGATCCCTCCGCCCACGTGGGACAGGCCACGTTGGAAGTAGCGGCTGCTTCCCTCTGCCCCATCACTGAACTAACAGCTCTGCCTTGCCTTTCAGAATGTCTGCTTCATCTTCCCTCAGTTTTTATACCAGTTCTTCTGTGGGTTTTCACAACAGGTCAGTCCTGGGGTCTTCAGGGACAGGCCATCTGAGCCTTCTTTTCCTTACCCCAGTGGGTGGCTGCCGTGGGGAGAGGAGACTTGGGAATGAGCAACACTCCCCAGCATTGCGAGGAAGCCAGGGTGCCCAGCAGCAGACAGGGGTGAAAGGTCAGGCGTGGGGTGGGGGCCACGGTGCTGAGGAGTTGCCGTCCTGGAGGCCGCTTATTCCGTGTCTTCTGAAACTGCTGTGGCCCTGAGATGAGGGCTAATGATGATGTGGTCTCCCCAGGGCCCAGCAGTGCCGAGCTGGGTATCCTGACACCACTGCAAGAATTAACTCCAACTCGAGGTCCTTGTGGACATGGGCCACCCCGGTGCCTGGCACGTTAACGTGTACAGTGTGCCCATAGGGGAAGAAGACAGTTCCCATCCAGGAGGGGTGAAGGACTCCCCGGGCACCTGCCCTAGATGGACGCCTCCTTCTGTCACTCGTGTGCTCAGTGGTTGGCGGGCCAACTGCCTTCATGTGAAGTGACTGGGACCAGAGTCACTGAAGCTTGAAGATGGCAATCAGAATTGCAAATGTTTTCTATGACTTTTTTCCTCTTTTTTTTTTTTTTTCTTGAAGTTTGTGCTGATAGAATGGGATGAGTCAGTGTTAGGCTTTTTGCCAGCTGTGACTTTCATCCTGAAATCACAGTTGATCTCACAGACCCTAGTTTATATCGTTAAGCTTTGAAAAGTGCTCTGATCTTTCTAGGCATTTCAGAAAGAAAATATATTTAATCAAAAGATCCAGAAAGTTTGTAACAATGCACTGAGGCGCCACTTCCTTGTGTCTTTCCTCTTACAGACTTTGTACGACACCGCGTATCTGACCCTCTACAACATCAGCTTCACCTCCCTCCCCATCCTCCTGTACAGCCTCATGGAGCAGCATATTGGCATCGACGTGCTTAAGAGAGACCCGACCCTGTACAGGTACCATCCTCCACACAGCCTCCCCTGAGAGCACAGAGAATAACCAGGCAGCACTCTGGCAGTTCTTCCAGTAGCCACCTGGCAGACCCCAGTTAAGGGCCAGAAACATTCAGCATCTACTGATACTCTTGCCTGGTCAGGAGCTTCTTTAAACTGGAAGCAACATAGTTCAAAGGGAGACTCTTTAAGCCTTGCTGGATGGTTTACGCTGCATTTGGAACATCTGTGTGGAGCCAGTTTGCACTTTCCTGTGCTTTCTAACAGTCCTAAGGGAGCCGGGGTACCAGCGTCTTCCTCGTTGTGACTCCGGGGAGTCTGTGGCCTAAGTTACCCTTTAAAACCATGTGTGTTCCATTCAGTGAGAAAAAAGAAAAATTAACAGCTCTGCTTTCAGGGTGTCTTTTCTCCCAAAAAGTTATATTTTTTTTAATAATATGGAAGAGATATTTTTCTGCTATTTCAGAAATGCCCCCCAAGGTCTCTGGAAGATTCAGTATGTTACTGTTTTCCATGGTCTTTTAAATTGTATTAGTCCGTTTTCATCCTGCTGTGAAGACATGCCTGAGACTGGGTAATTTATGAAGGAAGGAGGTTGAGTGGACTCACAGTTCCACACGGCTGGGGAGAGGCCTCACAGTCATGGCGGAAGGTGAATGAGGAGCAAAGTCACGTCTTACGTGGTGGCAGACGAGAGGGCGTGTGCAGGGGAACTTTCCTTTATAAAACCATCAGATCTCGTGAGACTTAGACACTATCATGAGAGCAACATGGGAAAAAACCGCCCCCATGACTCAACCACCTCCCACCAGGTCCCTCCCACAACAGGTGGGGGTCATGGGAGCTACAATTCAAGATGAGATTTGGGTGGGGACACAGCCAAACCCTATCATAAATTAGAATTTTGTTTTTCAGATAATTTTACATCCATATGCAGTTGTAAGAAATAATAGATTCCGGCCGGGCGCGGTGGCTCACGCCTGTAATCCTAGCACTTTGGGAGGCCAAGAGGGGCGGATCACGAGGTCAGGAGATCGAGACCATCCTGGCTAACATGGTGAAACCCCATCTCTACTAAAAATACAAAAAATTACCCGGGCGTGGTGACGGGCACCTGTAGTCCCAGCTATTCGGGAGGCCGAGGCAGGAGAATGCCATGAACCCAGGAGGCGGAGCTTGCAGTGAGTTGAGATCCGGCCACTGCACTCCAGCCTGGGTGACAGAGCGAGACTTCTGTCTCAAAAAAAAAAAAAAAAGAAATAATAGATTCCGTGGACCCTGATCCCATGTCTCTCAGTGGTGATATGCAAGAAACTGCAGTCCAGCATCACATCCAATGTGTTGATGTTGATGCCATTCTCCTGTTCCCTTATTCAGATCACGCAGCTTTCCCTGTGCTCATGTACGTGTGTGTACATGACACCTGTCTGTGTGTGTTCAGTTCTATGCAATCTTCTCACATGCGTGGTTCCTGCATCTACCACCACAGCCAAGACCACGCGCTTCCCTGCCCAGGATGCTGCAGGAATCCGTGCATCAGCCTCGCTGCCCTCATCAGAATATTTAGCCATTCTATGGGATCTTGATGGCTTGGACCCAAAAATAATCACTGTAGGTGATTAAGGACGACGATAAAAAATTTGTTGTACGTCTTTAATAATTGGGAATAAATCTGAGAAAACGGGAGAGGATATACCGTTCTAGACATGTATCCAGAAGGAATCCTGCAAATTCTATCTTATTGAACAGGCGTAAGGTGTCACGTCAGGCGTAAGGTGTCACATCAACTGTAAGGTGTCACATCAGGCGTAAGGTGTCACGTCAGGTGTAAGGTGTCACAAGCTCAGTGAATGTCAGGTGTGTGCCTTGTGTTCCGTGTTCGTTACTTTCAGAAGCAACAGCGCATGGCTTGCATCTCTCTGCCTATGACGATATTGCAGTGAATATGAGAGAAAGAATCTAAGCAAAAGTTAGCCAAGGACATGAATGGGTAGTAAAATGCTGGTTGTGACGGACATGCCGCATTTGTGGCCAGAGCACAAACCTCGTGTTTACCGGCCACACATCTTATCCCATGAAGACAACATCCAGGGACGGCCACCCCGGAGCCCGGGGGCGGCGCCGAGCCCTGATTCTCGAGGACACACGCTGTGCACTTTTCTCCTCACATAGGGACGTCGCCAAGAATGCCCTGCTGCGCTGGCGAGTGTTCATCTACTGGACGCTCCTGGGACTGTTTGACGCACTGGTGTTCTTCTTTGGTGCTTATTTCATGTTTGAAAATACAACTGTGACGAGCAATGGGCAGGTCAGTACGGAGCTCGAGCGCGCCGACTCAGCTGCTCGGGAATAAACCCTCCCAAGCCTGTATGATGATTTTGTCAAAGCAGTAATTCAGTGCAGCCCGCGCAGCTTCCCAACAGGGTCGATCGCCACATGCACGTCGCTCCGGGTCGCATTATCTGAGTGCTCAGTGTCACTGGAAGGAAATGTCCTACTGAGGTTTTTTGTTTTTTTGTTTTGTTGTTGTTGAGACAGAGTCTCGCTCTGTCGCCCAGGCTGGAGTGCAGTGGCCGGATCTCGGCTCACTGCAAGCTCCGCGTCCTGGGTTCACGCCATTCTCCTGCCTCAGCCTCCCGAGTAGCTGGGACTACAGGCGCCCGCTGCCTCGCCCGGCTAATTCTTTTGTATTTTTAGTAGAGACGGGGTTTCACCGTGTTAGCCAGGATGGTCTCGATCTCCTGACCTCGTGATCCATCCGCCTCAGCCTCCCAAAGTGCTGGGATTACAGGCGTGAGCCACCCTGCCCGGCTGGCCTGCTGAGGTTTTCAGACTTTATCTCTGTAGCTTACAGTTCACCATCAGCTCATTACTTAGTGGTAGAATTACACAATTTAGACATTGCGTTGTTTTTGGGTTTTTTTTTTTGAAACGGAGTCTCGCTCTGTTGCCCAGGCTGGAGTGCAGTGGCGCGATCTTGGCTCACTGCAAGCTCTGCCTCCCAGGTTCACACCATTCTCCTGCCTCAGCCTCCCAAGTAGCTGGGACCACAGGCACCCGCCACCACACCCGGCTAATTTTTTTGTATTTTTAGTAGAGATGGGGTTTCACCGTGTTAGCCAGGATGATCTCGATCTCCTGACCTCATGATCCACCCATGTTGGCCTCTCAAAGTGCTGGGATTACAGGCATGAGCCACCGCACCCAGCCTAGACATTGCATTTTTAATATGAGAATGAATTCCACGTTGAGCCCGTGTTAGATTTCCCCGAGCACCGTACTTAAGTCTGCTTCTTTTGCAATGAAGAGATTTGTAGTTTTCTAGTGAACATTCAGTCTCTGGTTGGTTGCCTAATCCCTGGGGGTTTGTTTTATTTGTATCTTGCTTTTTTTCTTTTTGCCACTGGCTTCCCTTCCCACCCTCAGATAATGACTACCAACACACACGTGGTAAGACAATCGTGGGTTTGTCGTTTCTCTGTGTTTTTGGAGTGCGTTACAAATGAAATATTTCTCGAAAATATTTTCAAACGTGACTTCCTGTGTGCTTTGTCAGTGGAAACGCTGTTAGCCGCTGCTGCCCCACGCACCCCGGAGCTAGCTCTGTGTTAGAAGGGGGCGTGTGCCCCACGCACCCAGGAGCTAGCTCTATGTTAGAAGGGGCGTGTGCCTCCTGACACACATCCTTGCTGTGTTGCCTCGGTTTCCATGTCAGGGTGGCCCATTGAGTCAGGGATGTTTTCTGAATTGACTGGATTGATGGGAGCTTCCCTCGACTTTAAATTAAAAGCAGCACAGGCGTGTGTGGGAGGCCTGGTGGGGCCCTGTGCTATCTGAGAGAGCCGCGCCAGCCGCTGAGTAGATGTCAGAGACCATCCCTGCTTAAAGGCCGCAGGTCTTTAGCCGCACAAGCAAACACCAGCGCTGACCTCGGAGAAAGTCTCTCTTCAGCAGCCCCTTCTGGGTGACTTCTAAACAGAAATCGGCTTTGTTCCCGGTTTAGCCTGACCTCTCTCTCCATGTGTGTTTGTCCCTCAGACTGCTGGGTTCAAACACAGACGTCCCGCTGCGTGTCCTGTGCACTGTCTACCTGCTTTAGTCGTTTTCACTTCTCATTACTAAACTCTGCTGTTATCCTTCGTCATCACTTAAATCCGTTTTTACCAGGTCGATCTTGAGAATCCATTCAAATGTTATTTCACTGTTTTAAAAGCTTTAGGTTTTTTAGAATTTATTCTTTGTCTTAGTTTATTTTAATTGAATAATTCCCGAATGCCACCAGGCCATGAATGTCATCATGTTGATTCTTTTGTATCTTTTATGAGATTTTCCTCCGGGTCGGGCTTACGTAAGCATCTTGTGTAGCCCTTAAAAAGAACTAAGACGTAGTGTCCTGAGCTCTGAGACTCCAGGCTCCTGGCAGCCTGCCGTGGCGATAGCAAGTCCCCTTTTTCCCGCACTTGATTTTCCAGTTTTCTCTCACAAACGTCGTCCTGGTTCACTACAACCACCCTTTTCAGCTGGACGTTCAGATCACGTGAAAGCTGAGGAAGGAGCAGTTCGGACAGATCAGACACCCTGTGCAGGGTCAGTTCCCGAGGCAGGGCCTGGGTCACACACAGACGTCCAGCATCAGACTTCATGGTGTTGCCTGGTGCGGCCTCTGGGTTGTTGTAATTCTGAATTTCAGCATGAATGTGAAGGTGCCTCCCAAGAGCCCCTGGAGGTGGACTTCAGGGGCGAGGACACTGGTGCTACTGTCCTAGGAGGGCTGCTGGCTGTGCTCCTAAATGAGGTGCTGGCAGTGCAATGCCAGGGGCTTCCTGGCAGGGACTCTGCAGCGTCTCTACCTTGTTGGACCCCTGGAACCCTGACGTGTCCCTGGTCAGCTGTACCTGGTGGTCAGTGGGCACTGTGGCTCTGCTGCCTTTCCTGGAATCTGAGGGTTTCCACAGGCTCCTGTTTCCTGGTCTCTTCTGGCTGTACCCTCCAGCCCCCGGCTACATCCTGGAAGGTACCCTGAGCCCCACGGAACCCGCACTTACCCCCAGCGTGATGCCAGCACTCACGGAACTTGGGGGTAGTCCTAGCGGCTGACAGCCCTCTTGGTCCTTGCATAGCAATTTGGGGTTGGGGTGCTCACCCCTGAGAATTTTCCCTTCCAACGAGGATACTCCCAACAGGGTTACAGTCCAGAGGCCCTCTGGGATTGATGGTTCACGGGTGAGAGCTACTTTGTTTTAAAGACCTAAATTATTCTAAAGGAATGTCTATAGATCCTGTGTGGCATGGGAGGAGCAATAGAATTACGGACGTCTTTTTCAAAAGTTCACCAGTGGAGCATTTTCTGCACTGACATCGTAAGCCATAGTAACTTCTTATTTTGATGCCACAAATGAGATGCGAAGACAACAGTTACTTGTTGAACAGCAGGATATTCCTAGGTGAACGGTTAAAAGCTTGGAATGTGCTTTGATAGACTTTGATACGTAAAACACAGAACAGAAAAAGGAGGTTCGCGTGTACCCGAGTTTGCATTACGAATTTTTAAATGCCAGCTGTGCGGGAATTTCTGTGCTCAGTTTGAGACATTGGGACCGACGTTCGTTGTGACCGAGAGCGTTGAGCAGGGCCAGTGTCAAGAGCGGGCAGAAAGTTGCAGGCAGACAGGCTCGGAGCCCATCACCGCGCCAGGGAACTGGTGGTGGGAGAGGCAGCCGGGAAACGGGGACGTCCTGCCGTGCTCTGGGGGGCTGCTGCATCTTCTGTTATGTGATAATAAGAAAATTCAGTGCTTACATCTTTGGGGTTTGAAGTGTTGGCACGCAAGAAAAATGAGGTGTATTTTCTAAAGCTCTTGATTTGAAAGAGAAAAAAAGTACATAAAAACGAGATGACTTGGACTGTTTTCCCCAAACAGATATTTGGAAACTGGACATTTGGGACGCTGGTATTCACTGTGATGGTGTTCACAGTCACACTAAAGGTAAGTGGTCTCACGCTCACGTTCCTCCTCCAGCCACAGTGAACCCCTGCAGGGTAGGCCTCACCCGCTCTGAGCTCTCTGAATTGTAACTCCGTACCCAGGCTGGAAGCCACTCTGCACCCAGCCCAGGCCGGCTCCTGGGGCACCCTGGGCATCCTCATCTTGCTGTTTAGACAGTAATGCACAGACTCAGTACACCCCGCGTGCAGACCCCAGAGCGACAAAGGTAACCTCGGGAGCGAGCTGCTTCTTCGTGAAAGAATTCAGAAAGAGTTCAGGCTAGAATTCTTTTCAGTGGCAGGTAGCCCTCCCCGGCAGTGCCATCAAAATACATTTGAATTGAAACAAATTAATGTATTTTGGAAAATTTTACTCTTTTTAAAGTCCAGTGAAGTTCTGTACAGACTATTATCATTATGAAATCTCAAAACCTATCAGACTGAGTCTTAAAAAGTGATACCAAAACATTCCTAAGGTGATTTTCTTAGATAGTGATATAAACAACACCTGACTCTAAAGTAACTTTCTGGCCAGGCACAGTGGCTCACGCCCGTAATCCCAGCACTGTGGGAGGCCAAGGCGGTGGATCACCTGAGGTCAGCAGTTCGAGACCAGCCTGGCCAACATGCCAAAACCCCGTCTGTACTAAAAACACAAAAAGTAGCTGGGCGTGGTGGCAGGCACCTGTAATCCTGGCTACTTGGGAGGTTGAGGCAGGAGAATCACTTGAACCTGGGAGGTGGAGGTTGCAGTGAGCAGAGATCACACCACTGCACTCCAGCCTGGGCGACAGAGGGAGACTCTGTCTCAAAAAAAAAAGAAGTAACTTTCTTAGGTAGTGACATAAAGAACACCTTAATCTGAATGACTTTCTTCGGTGGTGATATAAACAACACCTTGGTCTATGGCCCCCATGCCGCCATCTGGGAAGTGCATCCATGGCTCCCTGCCCCAGGACCCGGGGCTCTGGCGTCCCCACGTTCTTCCTCTCCACGGGCAGTGTGAGGTGTGCCTTTGTGTTCCGGAGCATTTTTGTGTGGGCATTGGGTCGTCACTGCTGGGTCTGTGTTTGGTTTAGTCTTTCATCAGCCCCTGGCTCTCTGTCCTGCCCGTCACGATCATTCTGACTGCTCGGGTGACACCGTTAACTGCCCTTTTTTCCTTTTAGCTTGCGTTAGACACACACTACTGGACTTGGATCAACCATTTTGTCATCTGGGGGTCGCTGCTGTTCTACGTCGTCTTTTCGCTCCTCTGGGGAGGAGTGATCTGGTAAATATCTATAAGTAGCTGATAATCTGATAAATATCACGTGATTGTTATTACCTTAATAGTCCTGCACTATTTTTTTTATCAAGGATTGAAGACACATTTTCCGTGCAGCCTCGTTGGTTGGGGCCAGTGTTTGTTGAACACCTGCTGTGTGCTGGGCGTCATGTGGGGTCCTGGGATACAGTCGGGGCCAGACACGGGGGAGTCCCTGCTCCTGTGACTTGCACCCTCAGGGGAGAGAGACACTAACTGATAACAGCTTGTGACGAGTTATATGGAGGAACAGACCAGGATTCTCTACCAGGGGACCTATGTCAGATTAAAAGGCCAGAGATGACTTCTCAGAAAGTCATCTGAAACCTAGAAGAACACCATCATCACAGCAAGTCCCAGCTGGTAACTGCCTCCCACAACGAAGCACCCGCCAAGCATTGGACAGGTCCTGTCTCACTCTATCCTCACGCCCCACAGCAAGATGGGGCCCAGGCATGGTGGGGCTGGACCTTGCCCGCAGCAGCCTGACTCCTGGGGGAGCCTCTGGTTCCGGGGAGCAGCAGCAGGCACGCAGTCCCGGGTGGGAGGAGGTCCTCGGTGAGTGGGAGCCGTGGCCAGCGGACAGGGCCCGGACCAGGCTGCAGAGCAGGCAGGGTGGCCTCCTGGACCGCCGGCTGTGAGGATCCTGGCTTGAGGCTGTCATGGTCAGTCAAGCCATTGGAGGGCTGTGGGCAGAGCACAGCAGAGTTGGGTGGCTCTTTTAAAAACCCCACGGTGGCTGCATGTTGAGCTGGTGAGAGCGATATAGGCAGGGTGGTCAGAGACTGTTGCCATAAGCCAGGAAAGTACGCAGGGTGGTGGGCCCAGGACCAGGTCCCAATCTCAGCCCCAGCGCAGCAGCCTCTGCCACAGCCCTCTGCAGACCTGGGGTCAGTCGCCGGCCTAGGGAAAGCCGGCGACCTTCTCGGGATCCCTCAGGGCCCCTGACCTGGGCGGGATTCTCAGCTCAGGAAGTGTCCCTCCCGATTACCTCGTTCAGCCAGCGGCCCCTGGTGGCCCCAGGTTGCATTACACAGTCCCAGAGATGAGCGCCGAGCTTCGAGGATTTCAGTCACCCTGCCAGCCCCAGAGAACCCTGCTTGGCTCTAGAGAGCCCAGCCCAGCTCCCGAGAGCCCGGCCATTCTAGCAGCCCTGAAGGCCGTGGCTCTGTAAGAGGAAGATTCCGTCCCAAAACCTCTCTGACCAGCTCCTGGGCTTTGGAACCGAGGAGCCACAGCCCATCAGCCTTGGTAGAACCATGGCCTCCACATTGTTTCCTAAAACATTGACCCCGTGTCTCTGATGTGCTGGGAGCTCACCGTGTCACCACCACTTGGTGATGAGACCCCATCCTCCTGCCCACCACCAGCACCTCGGGGGTGCCTCCAGCCCCGTCCCAGGCCTGCCAGCAGCTCCACGTCCCTCCCGTTACTCACCACGCCCTGCTCCCGTTTCCCTCCTGTTGTCCACACGCCAGTGTCACTGTGCTTCCTGGAGGTGGGGCCCTGTCTCTGTGTCTCTACCACCGTCCATAGTGCCTGGGATGTGAAAGGCGATCAGGAAACTACCAGAAGGCACGTGTAGACATGGACCTGTGGACTCAGGCTGGCTGCGGGTCACCAGTCCCTGCGTCCTTGCCAGCCTCCCTCATGGAGCTGACACAGACATCTTTGAGTTATCCTCTTTCTTGGGAGAGAAGTCATTGCTTGCTCCGTATTGACGACCGGTGCTCGGCACGTCCTTCCCATCCGAGACTTCAAGATAGAAAAAATCCCTATTTCGATCCCTTTTTTTTCGCTTCTGTGAAACCGAACTTCAGAGACTTCTGTGTTCCCTTTGAGATGACGTCATAGAATTCCTTCTCCCGTCCCTGTTACCCCAGCATTACCGGGAGGTTCCGCGTTCATTTTTTATATGATAAACTCAGAGCAGGCTCCGTGGCTTGCCAAGCGACTCTCTCTGACCAAAGTGTGAACTCCCGGAACAAACGCCCTCTCCAGTGCGGAGAGAGGCTGGCCCCAGGGAGCACGTGCCTCACCAGCGGCTTCTCTTCCCTGCCCCTCAGGCCATTCCTCAACTACCAGAGGATGTACTACGTGTTCATCCAGATGCTGTCCAGCGGGCCCGCCTGGCTGGCCATCGTGCTTCTGGTGACCATCAGCCTCCTGCCCGACGTCCTCAAGAAAGTCCTGTGCCGGCAGCTGTGGCCAACAGCAACGGAGAGAGTCCAGGTACGGAGCGTCCCAGCCGGGGCAGGGGTGCTTCAGGGCCCTGGCCTCAGGACTAGGAAATGACCACTTTGAAAGATAGTGTGAAAGGTTTGGATTTCATAAAACGTGATCAGTTCAGGTATCGCTAATGAGTTTCTTAATGATACATGATTTTAAATATCAGGTAAATTTGAGATGACTGATGTTTAATTTTATGTTTTAACCTAAACATTCAGATTAAACAGTAATCTGAAATAAGACACAAATAAGAGAAAAAAGACTAATACAAAAGGCAAATTATTTCATGTAAATGCAACCCTGTTTTAAAATTAATCATTACTTTAAAAGGTTAAATTACGTAATTTTTAAGGATGGTAAATTTGGCTGGAAACGGTAGCATCTGTATCAGGAAATGCTGGTATTGGTGGAGCTGCTTATTTTCCACATTCCCAAGTTTTAGCCACAAGCAGAATTCTGGGTCTGGGGAAGACATGACGATACCGAGTGCCCCCTCAGGTGCAGAGGGTTCGGCGGGTGTGAGGACTTGGTCTCCGGCCCCCCGTCCTTCTCAGCAGCTGGGCTCTGACTTCAAGCTCAACCCCAAGTCAGAGGCAGTGACCACGTCCCCTACTCTGCAGTCAGAGGCAGTGACCACGTCCCCTGCTCTGCTGCTTTACCGGGAAACCTGCCTGTCCTCGGAGGGCCGCTGCACCTGTCACAGTCCCTCGGGACTCTGTTAACAATGCGGGTTTTCAAGTTTCATCCCTGAAATTTCTAATCACTCGTGAGGTGGGGCCCTGGACTGGGCAGTGCTGAAGCCTGGTGGGGACACGAGGGGTGGGAGACCCCCGGCGGTGGCCACTCCTTCAGGGCGTGAGGGCCGCCCGGATGGACACAGCGGTGCAGTTGGGAGGAAGACGGGAAGCGAGGGGGCCCGGGGCCCCAGCCCTGACTCACTCAGGCAGCTCAGACACTTGGGGGCTGGCTCCCAGCAGTGCTGCCGTGCTGGGAGGGAAAACAGGTCACCCTCCCTTAAGGGGCACAGCCCCACCCACCACCCACCTCTAACAATCAGAATGGGACCCTGGCTTGAGAGCTTTCTTGGGACGTTGGTGCCGATGTAAAATGTTGAAACCAATGCCGCCAGTCCCCAGCACTCCCTCCTTCATGCCTCCTGCCACAGTTTGTAAAAAGGAGCGAGCAAAACTCGTGGTGAAGAGACCCCCACTCAGCGTAGTGAAAACGTCCACACACAGCTCCACTGACTCGGGGACCACAGGCAGGAGAAACGCAGCAGAACCTGCATGTCAGCTGCTGTGTGCACGGAGGGGAGCCAGTGGGAGCAGGAGCCAGGGCCCAGGTTGAGACTCCACGGCCCCCAGTGCTTCAGGGGAAAGTCGTTGCCGCCAAGCAGCCACTGCCCAGCCCTGCCTGTGGCCCGAGAAGCAGCTGTCTAGTGGTACTTTTCTGTAAGCACAGTCCTTGGTTCCTGAGCCCTTTAGCCGTGCAGTTCCACAGCGGGCACACGTGTTCATGACAGGGCTCTGTGCATGGAACACGTGTTCATAACCACATCCCATTCATGGGGACATGGCAGACACGCATGTCACAAGGACACAAGGCACAGAGGAGACAGCAGAGCTGTGGGTCTGACCCTGAGAGAGAACAGGTCCAGCTTGGGGGTGTTTCCTGGGCCCCCAGCTGTGGCCACAGTGGTGTGGCTTGAGATTTACGAGAGTCTCGGACGCACCTGGCCCCTGGGTGCGTGTGGCTGCAGAGGTGCCTGGTCAGAGATGCCTGAGCAGGCAGGAGTTGAACTCGGGGGGTCAGGAGGGCCTGTCCCCGCAGGAGTCTGGGCTCTTCCATGACAGTGTGCATGCAGCCTCGAGTCGGGGCTGCCGAGGGCCACGCCCCCAGACGCGTCTGACCACAGGCCCTCTGCTCTGCGGCACATCTCCAGGATGGGCGGGTCTCGGGGCACTTTGGGAATGCCAGTGAGGACCTCCCCGTGCCACCCTTTGTTCGGAAGCCCCTGTCATGCTGTGGGTCTCTGCGTCCCACAAAAGCCTCGGCAACCCTTACGAACAGCCACACAGTGGGACCTGCAGAAGGCATAAAGCAGGGAGTGGGAGGGGCTGGCGGGTCATGGCGGGGGGCACCAGTGTCCACCTAGAGTGGCCAGAAGAACGTGCACATGGTGGCGAGCCTCTGACTAACTCAGCTCTGTCTGTTGTTTCTCTTTCCTTCCTGTTTCCTTCCATCTTCCGACCACTTTGCCTAAATCCCTACACCTTGTTCACACACCCCTCTGTGCGTGGCCGCTGACCTCGGAACTCAGACTAAGAGCCAGTGCCTTTCTGTCGAGCAGTCAACCATCTTTATGCTTTCTCAGACTTCCAGCAGCCTGAGTTTCTGATGGAACAAGGTGATGCTCCTCTGCCTTCCGCACGCTTGGGATGGTAGACGCGGGGCAGCAGGGCCATGCCTGTCACCAGAGCCCCGAGTCCACGCGCTCCGACGCAGTGTCCGCCAGGCGCTGGGCACAGCAGCCCCACGTCAGGAAGCCCCACCACCCACTTACACCTTCACATACACAGACCGATCGTGAGCTGTGCTTTCCATCAGTCACAGTTAACCAGGGTTTCTCCCTCAGCGTCCAGGCAGCCTCAGAACCCACCTGTGAGGGTTCAGACACAGCTGACAGCACAGAGCCGGCCACATGATCCCTCACACAGGTGTCAGAGAGGTTCCTGTGCAGGAATCCTAAGCAGGAAGGTATGAGAGTTTGCAATTCACAGGTCATCCAGGCCCTGAGCTCACATACCCTGCCCTCCGCAGCCTGTAGAGTGTGGATCCTCCCTCACGCACCCACTTCTGTGCCCATTCTGCAGCTGGAAAGACTGACGACAGCTAGGATAACACGGTTTGCTCAGGACCCACGCACATTTCAGAAAAGGGGAGCCAGGCTGAGCCACACAACTGGAGACAAAGGGGACAGAAGTGTTTGGTGTCAGATGTTCGACCAAATTCTCTTTTTACTGTTTTTTGAATGAAGACCTCTTTGAAAGCTTTCTGTTAATAATATGCTTTAAAAATGATGGCCCTGGCCTTTCTGGGCAGCGTAGAGGCATTCACATGCCACTTTCCTGCGGTGGCATCCGTGGTCAGAGCCGGGATTGCAGGGGCCTGCGTGCTGTCCTGAAGTCACGTTCTGTCTTTCAGCCGTGTGCTCCGGCACCAAATCCCGCATTCACGCATGCCTCCAAATTAATGGTGCTCTGAAAATGCATGTTTGGTATTTTACTGTTTTACCAAATGCAGCCTAGAAAAATGCCCGGAGCAGAAAGGGCTTTTTTTCCCTTTAATAACATCATCTTCTATATATTTTAAACACCATTTTTAGCTGACAAAATGGTCCTTTTTTAAGTCCAAGCAATTAATAGGAATCAAAATTTTTCTAATTTAGTGTCATCAGAATTTGTTAGATTAAATTGCAGAATTTCATCTCACCATTTCTATACTTGAAAACATTAGGGATGAAATTATTAGGAACACTTTAATAACTCATAGGAGGTCCTTAAGAAACTAATTAAATCATGCCAACTCTAGGCTAAAAATATGCATTCTAACTATTGATGTGGTTTGTTGAGAGCTGATTTGCCTCCGAACATGTGCAGAAGCTGAGCCCGGCTACATAGAGACGGCCGCACAGAGGTTCGTTCTCCTGCCGCCTACGAGGCCTCGGGCCCTGGCGTGACCCCCGCAGGCAGGGCCGGTGTCCGCACCTGAACACAAAGCGCCTGCAGCCAGCACGTGCCCGGCACACACAGGAACACACCGTGGTGCTGAGACCACCTGCGTTCTGCAAAACTTTGGAGGAGTAAACATGTCACTAGTCCTCACGTGGGGCATATTTTACTTCCAGTGGATGGTTTTCTTTTCATCTGTTCCTATGGAAAAGAAAAGCATCACGGGCCTGACGTATATATACGTGCGATTCGCACACATATGTCTGTGCTGGCATGTCTGCGTATCTGCATGCAGTTCGCCTCTCCATCCCTGTCCCTGGGACGGGTGGCAGCCTCATCCTTTGTTTCCTGCTGCTCCTCACCTGGGCGTTTGCCCATTCGGACCTGCAGTTCTGCAATTCCAAGCCCGCAGTTCTTCAGCTCCCACGCTTCCCTTATTCCTTGAATAAGGCTGGGCTACGAGATCTCAGTGCTCTGTGAGCACGTTGGCCTCAGGACACTCTGCAGGGCCCTGGCAGAGCAGCTCCCGAGGCTCGCTGTCTGCCATGGAAGTGGGTGTGTGGCTGAACATGTGGCTCCAGGATTCCAGAGGTGCCTGGTGGACCTTCCAGCTGAGGGACCTGGGACCCTCTGCCTCCCACAGGTGCCGTGGCCCGTCCCTGAGCCTGTCACTGTCTCTCAGTTCTGGGCTTGGGCTCCTCATGGGAGCGGCCCTGCTGGGACAGTGTTTTCCCAAGACGCCCCTGAGCCCTTGCCCTGGCCGCTCCGTGACACCCCATGCAGACTCCAACAGAGGCTTAGTGCCTCTTCCTGCTGGGGTCCCACGGATGGTGCAGGCGGAGGCCAGAGCGCTCCTGGTGCTCGTGGGCACCGGCTCAGCAGCCCTGCGTGGCCCACGTTGCTCAGTGTCTTTCCTCGCCTTGCAGAGGGGCATGAAGCACAAGGCTCCAGTCCAGGCCGCACAGAGCAGCGACGGGCCCCTCCTGAAGGACCTCCTACGGCGGCCAAGGCGCAGTTAGCTCCACGCTAGGTAACTGCGGCTGCTGCGTGCCGCCCGTGTGCTGTGACTGTCAGACCTGTTTTTCCTCCAAAGTTTTGCTGTGCTGTGCTGTGCTGTCTTTGATAACAAAGGTTCACGGTGAAAAAGAGCAGCTCTCTTTACACACACATGCATTTGCTGTCCCAGGTAAGTAACATGCCTGAGGGCAAGCCGACCACACATGGAACATGCTGTGCACACCCACACACGTGCACACTCCCCCCACACACAGCACGCAGCCTGACCGGGCCCAGCTTCGTCAGATACAGGCTCACGGTCCTGGTCCCTGGGGGAAACGGCTTCACCTAAAAGGCCTCTCAGGAAGGAGCCTGCTTTGAAATCAAACGTGGATATTGCGTGGTTTGTGTGGAACTGGGGCCCAGGCAAGTGTGAGTGCAAGTCTTCTGTGTGCCAGCCGGAGCACGTAGCTTGTCGCCTCCCTGACAGACATGGAGGCCGTGAAGACGCCTGCTCCCGCCAGCATTTCCGGCACTGGAAACGCTGGTCTAAAAGTGGGCTGGTCTAAAAGTGGGCTGACCTGGGGACGGCCCCCCGTCAGACAGATGCGTGCTGCCAGCCTCTTGCCGCTCCCCTCGCTGGTCAGACCTGCAGGGCCCTTGCACGTCCGGGGCCCCAGTGGGCTGTCAGAAGCCATGTAGGCCCCATCCATGTGGTGACACCCAAGGCAACATGCCAACAGGACGCAAACTGAGCGTGTCCAGTACTCCATCAGCTCAGTCCCTGTGGGGTGGGGCCTGCCCTCTCTGGGGCAGTGAGTTCGCCTTTTGTTCGAGGGTCTCTGGGTACCGGTGTAGCGTTCGAGCTCTCACTGCACAGGAAGCCAGCTATCGGGAGGAAACTTGTAGGTTTCCCGTCCATGGCCTGTATCCCTGGGGTCCCTGGTTCTTCCCTGGGATGGTGGGACAGGGGGACAGTCACTGTTGATGCCGAAAAGGAGAGGCACTCGTTCCTAGACAGAGACCCCTTGCCTCTATGGCTTCTCCAGTGTCCTGAGCTGAGTCTAGCAGTTCCTGCAGGAGGCGATGGTAGTGAGTGCATCCCAGAGTGGCCCAGGTCACCCCAAGCAGCCCCGTGGGGATCCCTGAGACTGACCGTGTGTCTCGTTCTCTCAGCAGAATGGGTGCGCACAGCCTCGGGACCGCGACTCAGAGTTCACCCCTCTTGCCTCTCTGCAGAGCCCAGGCTACCAGAGCACCTGTCCCTCGGCCGCCTGGCACGGCTCCTGCTCTCAGCAGGTGACGCTCGCGGCCTGGAAGGGGAAGGTGTCCGTGGAGCCCCCACCCACCCTCAGCGGTTCCCGTCACCACTGCAGTTCCAGCCCGAGTCTCAGCTGCCCTGGGACCCGTGTGCAGATGCTTGTGTGATGGATGGTCCTAAGCCTGTGGAGACCGCACACGCCTCTTCCTGGCCCCCAGGAGGCAAGGAGGGGGGTCACAGGCCTTGCCCTCGAGTGTGGCACGCTGGCCGCCTGGACCCAGCGCTGCAGTTGTTGAGCCACGCCGGTCCCCCCGGGCATTCGGCCCGACTCAGAAGGGACATCCGGCTGGCGCACCCTGTGCTGTCATGCAGAGGCCATTCCCCCAGGCCCGTGTCTTCACCCACCTACTGTCATCGGTCTTTGCTGTCGCTGGGAGAGAAGAGCCATCCAGGCCCCCGGGGCGGCCATGTGTGGACACCTGCTGCTGTTCCTGCTCGCCCGGCCGCCACTCGTGCCCTCCATAGGGTGAGGTGGAGCTGTGGCGGCACGTCCTTTCCTCAGCAACCCTCCAATCCTCATGCTGTGGGAAGGGCCTGGTCACTCGGATACCGTCATCCCTGCGGATGCACAGCCGTGCCCTGTTCATCTGGGAGCGGCTTCCCTGTGGTTAAGTCCAAGCCTGCCTGCTCTGTGTGTCAGGGCTGGCTGAGTTTCGGTCTCCCCATCATCGCGTCGTGCAGAAAGCAGTGCCATGTGGGAGGACAAGGCCACGCCAGTGGCTTCCAGCCCTGCAGCACAAGTGCCAGGATGTCCATCGGCCACTCACCAGAGCATGGAGCCGTCAGTCCACTGTTGCAGGAGAATGTTGATTTCGCAGGTGCAAGGGCCAGGAGACAGATACTTGACTATGATGGGCAGACATCCTCTGTCCCCGTGGAACGGTCACCACCAAGGTGGTGTTGGTGCCCCAGAACCTGTCTCGGGCTGATGGGGGTGGCCCACAGGACAGGGGTGGATCCCAGCAGGCAGCACTGCAGCTCCGCCCACCTCCCACACTGCACCTCCGCCCACCTCCCACACTGCAGCTCCGCCCACCTCCCACACTGCACCTCCGCCCGCCTCCCACACTGCACCTCCGCCCACCTCCCACACTACACCTCCGCCCGCCTCCCACACTGCAGCTCCGCCCTCCTCCCACACTGCACCTCCGCCCGCCTCCCACACTGCACCTCCGCCCACCGGGCTCTGCGTCCCCTTGTCCCCACATCCCCACGTCCCCACGCAGGGCTCTCCTTCGTCTTAGGATTCTGTCCAGCGCTGCTCTGGGTGGGTTAGCAACCCAAGGGCTGCTGTGATACAAAGTCCCTGTTGCTCTCTGTACTGGCGTTTCTATTTCTAGAAATAATCTTTGACGTAGCCTTAATGGTCCTTAAAGAAGACATTTCATTGTGAGATTCGGTACTGCTGCCTTTCAGGAAAGTACCAGACGCTGGAGGAGGAGCCGGCCCTCATGCCCTCCCAGAGCCACGCTGTCAGACGGGCTCCGGCAGGCGAAACCAGAGGGTGTTTCCGAGGTGCTCGACAGTAGGTGTTTTTGGAAGCTCAAATTTCACCATTTGATTGTATAATCTTTTACCTATACAATATTTATTTGAACTAAAGGATAAATCGGCGGTAAGAACAGCGAACACAGTGGTTGAGATAAACTAAGGTGACAAATAAACACCACACCAAAGATGAGGGTAGTGAGCAACTGGCTTGAGCAGACAGAACGGGGAGGACTCCACCGTGTCCCGAGGTCCTCGTGCAGCCGCCCTGGCTTGGCAGCCCTGCCCACGCTACCCCCGCAAACAATGGTGTGTGCATTTTTACAGCCCTTTTTAAGAACCCAATATGGGCATAAATGTAATACCTGTATGGGGGGCAGATTCTCTGTATGTTCAGTTAACAAATTATTTGTAATGTATTTTTTTAGAAATCTTAAAATTGCCTTTGCACTGAAGTATTTTCATAGCTGTTTATATATCTTTTATTCATTTATTTAACATATTGTCTAATTTTAAAAATAGGTTTATAAAGCTTTCATTTTTAAGTTTATGTAATTTTGGCCACTTTACATTTAGATTCTGGTGAGAGTTTTGACTGAATGTTCCAATCTCTGATGAATGTGAATTTTCAGATTTGATTTTATTCTCTACACACACCTCTTCCTTTCTTGGTATTTCTGGTGGCAGTGATTAGTTAAACAGCATATTTAAGGTACGATAATTTGCTATACTTTTTCTTTACAATTTGTTGCAATTTCCTCTGCTTTCTGTGTTTCATTGTTAATTTCCATCCTTCAGCCTTAAAAATAGAAGATTCTCACATGAAGGTTTAGTAAGCTGGGTCCCAGCTCTGCCTGTGTGGAGATAGTCACCATGTACCTCTGACAACAAGTCTTAGTGTGAAAGTCACTAAACTTTTACACACTCCCAAACGTCTTTTAAAAAATTGCTTGGGAAATTATTAAATGAATGTACCTGATCATTTGAAATCGACAAGGGGCACGAGATAAAAACTAAAAGGATGACGTCAGTGAATGACGTCACAGGGTCTTCACACAATTTTCCACCTCACAGTAGTTAGTATTTACTTGCCTTAAACTAACTTTGAAGCAAGTAATGTCAACTTTGAGCACTTTGTCGAGTTTTGAAAATCTTATTTGCTGCTGCACAGGTTAATTATCAATTTGTAATTCAGCATGTTGGTCAGAGACACAGTCGCTGATTCACACCCAGTCACCGCCACAGACCGTCTCAGACACGCACAGTGGGCCTGCTGCATGACTCACACCCAGTCCCTGCCACAGACCGTCTCAGACACACATAGTGGGCCTGCTGCATGATTCACACCCAGTCCCTGCCACAGACTGTCTCAGACACACACAGTGGGCCTGCTGTGTGACTCACGCCCAGTCCCTGCCACAGACCGTCTCAGACACCCACGGTGGGCCTGCTACATGTGTGTCCCGGGCTTTTGGCTCCACGTTCACTCATAGCCATGTCCACTTGCAGGCTTGCACACAGAAACACACACATACATATGTACATGTACACACCACAAACATGCAAGCTCCCGCACACATGTATGCACACATGTACACAAGTGTGAGCTCCTCCACACGTGCACACGTGTATGTACACCAAAGCATGTGTGACATACATGTACATGCACATGTGTACACATACTACAGACGTGTGCACACTCCACACAATGCATGTGCACATACCATGAATGGTGTAAGTTCCTACACACAGATGTGATACATGCATGTACATGTAAGCACACATGTACAAGCTCCTACAGGCTTGCTCTCACACGTGTGTATGCACACAAGACGTATGAGCTTCACCTGTACACATGCATACACACACATGCACATGTACATTCACTACAAACACATGCAGGCTCCTGCACACATGAGCACACATGCACATGTACACACCCTAAGCATGCACAGGCTCCTACACACGAATATGCACACATGCACATGTACACATCCCAAACACGCACAGGCTCCTACATGCACATGCATGTGTACACCACAGACATGAGTTCCCAGACGTAAACACGTGTGCGCACACCATACACACGTGAGCTCCCACACATGTACACACCACAAACGTGCAGGCCCCCGCACACGCGAATACATCCATGCACGTATACACACATGTGCCACAAGCAAGTGCCCACTGTCCTGGTGTCCCGCATTGCATCCTGCCTCCTTCCTGAGGGCCCCTGTGAGGGGCCTCTGGCCGGGCATGGGAAGATGGGGCTCGTAGCCCAGGCCTCCCTGGGACGGAGTGTCCCCCTCCTGGCAGAATGTCTAGGCTTCGCAGAGTGGGCCCGGGGTGAGGTCGCAGCTTCACTTACACCAGCTGCTCTGTGAGCAGCGCTTGGTGCCCTGGACAAGGTCCTTTCCCCTTCAGGGAGGTCCAGCCCCACGAGCTGAAACCTCCCCTTGGATCAGCCCTCTACCAGGTGGCCACAGCAGGACCGGCCACGCCCACGCCGCACCTCATCCCTGCACACGTCAGGGAGCACAGCCGGTCTTCTGCCACGAGCCAGCTGGGAAGGGCCGCGGCCTCCTAAAGCCCCAGTCAACCCGGCCTGCGTCGGAGCAGACGGGGCGAACAAGCAGGCCACACCGCCTCGAGGGAGGAGGCCAGATGCGGCAGCTTCTCCAACAGGGTGACCATCCGCTCGGCTTGCTGAGCGTTTAAACAAATGTCTAGACAGGCTGTTGTGACTTCTCTGAGTTGAGCCTTGGCCAGGGGTCCGGTGCCGTAGCAGGAAACCTCCAGCCTTGTTCTTCAAACCACTCAGCTTATGTGTTTTGCACTGACTAGTATTGAATAATGCAGCCACTTTTATTTAATGTTAATATTATTTATTTGGCAGCTCAGTGTCTTAACAGCTTGATATGCAGGTCCTTGTATCCTACATTTCTTTAGGAAGTTACCCATTTGTAACTTTAGAAACAGGAAAAATGTCAGTTGGTAAATGCAATCTTTTTTTTTTTTTTTTTTTAAGCTAAAGGTGGGTGAACTGGAATGAAAATCTTTCTGATATTGTGTCTATAAGCAGCTTTGATGGGGATGTGTTAGAAGTGTCATGAAAGTGTGATTCTACTTTTGCAGAAAAAATCTAAAGATCAATTTATATAGCTTTATTTTTTACTTTATCAAAGTATACAGAATTTTAATATGCATATATTGTGTCTGACTTAAAATTATAATGTCTGCGTTACCATTTAAAATGTCTATTCATTAGGTAATGTAATAAAAGAAGGTCTTCAAAATGTATTTAATATGAATGGTATCCATAGCTGTCATCATCATAAATACTGGAGTTTATTTTTAAATTATTAAACATAGTAGGTGCATTTAACATAAATCAAGCCTCCACACATTAACATTTAACTGATCATTAATCTGCTTTGAAAAGTTAAAATATAAATTAAACCAAATCTAACATTTCTGTAAAGTTTATTTTGTATGCTCCTGTTTTTAACTTTTATTTCTGTAGATAAACTAACTTGATAATATTATATTGGACTTTTCTCTAGATTATCTAAGCAGGAGACCTGAATCTGCTCGCAATAAAGAATAAAAATCTGCTTCAGTTTCTTTATAAAGAAAATCACACAAGTGGTGTGTACATTTTCTGCTGTTAGAAACTGTACAGTCAGAACACTTCTGCAGTGTGCTTCTGTGTGGGATGAAGGTGACAAGCCCAGTGTGGGTGGTGTGGGCCCTCGGCGGCCACCCCCTGCAGGGATACCAGGTGTGCCAGGTGCAAGGCCCTGGTGCTGACCCTCCTGGACTCCAGAGCCTGCACAGGTTGAGAAACTCAGGACTGGGTTTCCCAACCTTCTGGTCCGTCCCCCCTGACCTCTGCCAAGCCCCCGCCTGCCACCTCATTCTTGGGGTCTAGGTGCCCCCTTTCCATCCCAATTCTCCCTCTTGACCAAACCCCAGGCTCCTTCAGGCCCTTCAGCCTCCTGAGCTCTGTTGACTGAACCCAGCCTTTCCCACTCTGAAGTAGATGGCATTTCCCTGCCCCCTGCCACTCCCAGCCCTGGCAGAATTCTGAGTGCTGCCACGGAGCCCCCGGAATGCCCCCTGGCCCAGAGGCCGTGGCCTCGTCCCAACCCTGACCTCTCTTGAGTCCCCACCCGGCCTGGCCATGTCATACTCTACAGTTTTGTGTCTTGTCTGGAAACACCAACTTCAAAAACAATGCCACCAGGGTCCAACTGCTGGGATCGCGGCTCCATTGGGGCCCCTGGAGAGGGGCCTTGGGGTGAAATCCAGAGCATCCCTGGTGGCTGGTGCCTGAGTCCCACCTGGCCACATCTCCTCTCCCTGCTCAGCCACCTGCTTCCCACGGAGTCTCAGCTCAGGGCCACCTGGGAAACACCCCGGGGGCGGACAGCAGGGTCCCCGGCTCACAGGCTGGAATTCTAAGCACGGGACTTTTGCTGGCTCCTGAACGCCACAAAGTCACGGGCTACTTTTCACAGGCAGCGCACAGGCAGCACTCCAAAGGCATCTGTGGGGTGAATGAACCTACAGCCACCCTGGATTCTCTCCGAAATGCCTTCCTCTCGTTCCCTGGTTTCTCCGAAATGCTTTCCTCTCATTCCTTGGCTTCTCAGCATCTTCATGTGGGCTTATCTTTACCTTTCCATACTCCAGGTGTCCTTGGGGTATCCTCAGGTGTCCTCGGGGCATCCTCAGGCATCCTCAGGTGTCTTTGGGGTATCCGCAGGTGTCCTCGGGGCATCCTCAGGCGTCCTCAGGTGTCTTTGGGGCATCCTCAGATGTCCTCAGATGTCCTCCGGGCGTCCTCAGATGTCCTCGGGGCGTCCTCAGGTGTCTTTGGGGTATCTGCAGGGGTCCTCGGGGCATCCTCAGATGTCCGCAGGTGTCCTCGGGGCGTCAGGGCATCCTCAGGCATCCTCAGGTGTCTTTGGGGTATCCGCAGGTGTCCTTGGGGCGTCCTCAGATGTCCCCAGGGTGTTCTGGTATCCACCAGCCCGCCCAGGGCATCCGTTGCTCCCCCACGTCAACTGAGGGCTGTTCCATGCCAGCCTCGTTCTCTCACCTGGGACAGGATTGCTGGGAGGGCTCGGGGGGATGGGGGAAGGCCGGCCAAGCCCAGAAGGGCTGGAGGGAGAGCGAGGCCGGCATAAAATGGCCCTCAGCTCATGTGGAACCACAGATGCTGGCTTGGGGCAGCCTCCAGGCTCTGACAGGTAGGCCGGTTTGTTCGGGTGTCCTCTGGTGTCCCAGCAAAGGGGACATTCCAGCAGCACCTGGGGCCGAGAGAGATGGAGAAGGAGGATGGAGCCCGGAGAAGAAATAAAAGTTGGAATCAAAAGTTGTTTGCTAGGAGAAGAAGAGCCATGTCCCTATCTCAAACGCGTGGGTGAAATATGTGTTTCCTGTGAGTGCACTGCTGAGGCCCGTCTGTGCACTAACCCCCGGGTCTCCCTGGGTGTGGAAGCACCGCCCCGTCCTCTGCCTGCATCTCCTCTGGGCGCTTTCCACGTGGCGCTGGGGTCAGGGCCTGCCCCACTGACCTCCTTTTAGCTTGGTCCCCTCTATAAAGACCCCGTCTCCAGCCAACGTCACGTTCTGAGGCACTGGGAGTTAGCACTCCAACATCTGTCTTCGGAAGCCATGATTCAACCCCCAACACTCCATTCTGAGGGGCCATGGAAGTGCCTTGTCCGGCTTCAGGGCAGTCACACCTGGGAGCAGCCGCGGCGGACTGCAGGGCAGTGGCCTGCCCGGTGGATCCGGGCCTGCACGGAGGTGGGGTGGGGTTGGAGGGCTGTTTAGGGCCATGGCTGCTCTTCGGATGACAACCTGGAACCCACCAGGGGAGCTCACTTGCCATCGGTCCGAGTGGCTCAACCTGGGTGACTGCAGTGGACCGAGAGGGTCCAGGGCGTCCCCAACCGGCAAAGGCATCCAGGAAGCCACTGGGGCCCCTGCTCAGGGCAGGGCAGAGCCAGACACACGGCAACAGGCGAGCCGCCCCACAGAGGATGAGCCGAGGCAGCACGCACAAACATAGGGCTAAAATCAGTGTCTCACTCATCTCACGTGGCTTCCTGACTTCTTAAGACATCAGTGTTTAAGAGAAGAGCAGGCCACGGCGGGCAGGTGACCCCTCACTGTCGCCCCAGGGGGAGGGGGGGCCGTGGTGGCCGGGCGACCTCTCGCCGTCTCCGTGGCGGCATCACTGTCTTCCTGCCGGCCAAGTCGGCCAAGTCATCGGAGCAGCAGGAGAGTCTCAACAGAAACCCTCCGGGACCCTCCCAGCCCGGCTCAGCTCTTGTTTCTCACCTTGTTTTAGCAAAATTCTCCCCAAAAGGTGGCGATACTTGTTGGCTCTGTCTCCGTACACACCCACATCTGCCTCCCGCTCCTTGGACGGCTCCCGGGCCCTCGTGGGACGGCTGGGTCCTGTCTGGCTCTGCTTCCCAGAGGGCCCTGGCGCAGGCCACTGCCCCACCTACCCTCCTGGTCTGCGTTCTTCGCCTTCACGGCATGAATCTCACCCCGATGTGAGGCTGTGTCTGTGTTCATTAACCCATTTTCTGTCTATTTTTACTGAGACGTAAAGTCCAAGAAGTGAGACACTTTGCCTTGCTCCGGGCCGAGCCCTGCGTCCAGCACGGGGTGTGGGGTGCAGGAAGGACTCAGTGACCGTGGGGCTGGCTGGACACAGACGCAGGGCCCCTGCCCGGCTTAGCTTCCCAGTGAGGATTCCAGGTGCTGGGTGCCAGTTGCGGGCTGTAGCCAGCCAGACCACCCTGGCCAGAGGTTTCGGGACAAGGACTGGCAGGAAGCCCTCCCTGTCCAGCTGGAGCCCGTGAGGCAGAGCCGGATGGCACCTGGGCACTGAGAAGCCAAGACCTCGGCGCCTTCATTCTGGAGGAGGGGTTGAGGGAGGGACAGTACCGCTGTCTTGTCTAGGCAGGGTTTGTGCAGATTTGGGGGCTGGAAGAGGCCAGGGTAGGTCTGTCCTGCTCCCTCCAGCCGCCCTGAACTCCAGAAAGGCCAGGCCTGAGTCTGCCTGCAACGTATCCCACACAGAAGGACAGATTCCGAGACAAACCAGGGTGGCTACAGGTTTACAAGGGGGCCCTGTGGTCTTCTCTCTGTAGGTGGGAGGACGTTGTCACCGCCTTCCTCGGCTGTGTAAGCCGAGCACAAAGGTGTCTTCCCCCGAGATATGGTCACTCCTTTTCTTTCCCTTACGGACATCTTTGTGGGAGCTATGCTTTCACATAAAGCGTTTAACCTCCAATGGTAAAGTTTCCAACACTAAGTGGAGAAATTGGAACAATTTGGAAGCAGATGAACCCTCCTAAACTGCTTATAGGACACAGTGACCACACGGAGATGCCCTGGAAGGATTCCACCCTTTGGGGTCACAGGCACAGGCGCCACGGCTTCCCAGGTGCTTGATACCTGAGCTCACTGTGTCGCACGACTTACGTGGAATCCACAGACGCAGGCTGTACTCCCATCCAAGTGCAGAGCCCAGACACGTGTTCGGAGTCTGTGGGTGTGCTACCGTGCGGCGTCCATCTGGCTTTCCCTGCAGCCTCAGCTCCTGCGGGATCTGCTGGCTGGTAGGCCGTGACGCCCCGATGGGAGTTGTCCCTGAGGTCTCTGCTCCTCCTGCTGCGCTCGCAGGGAAACCTGTTTGTGACGTCATCTCCTTGTGCCCCACTGGGCTTCTGAGGCTGTGAAAGCTGGTGGAGCACAAAGGCCTTGCCTGGCCCTAACAAGCTCGGCCCCAGCAGGACACCGCGGGCAGCCTGTGATGCGCTGCTCTGGGCCTTTGTCCTCCGCTGAATTAATTTCCTCTTGAATTGCCTCAACTTTAGAATGCGCCCTAGCCTTTTCTGAAGGCACACACATCTTGGGGTTTTGTCCTCTGTATTTTCGCTGCATTGGTTTACTGTGTGCCAAGGCGGAAAGCTTTCGTGGAGAAGACGTTCTGGCCTCTTGTCTGTCTGTCTGTCCCCCGAGGGCTGCGGGCCAGCTCCATGCCCATCCACGGTGTGCAGGCAGAGCATCTTTCAGGATAGCAGGTAGAAATCCCTGCTTCCTGGCAAAGTCCGTTCCAGTGTGGTGCCCACTGTCCACGCACGTGTGGGTTTGGGCCTGCACCCTGCACAAATGTGTGGGGCGGGCTTGTGGCTGGCTGGGGTCACTGCCTGTCCCCTCCTTTTCCACAGCCGCGGTGCCATCCGCTTGCACGTCCTGCAGGAGATCCTCAGGGCGGGTTCCCACAGGCAGCCTCCCTTTGGACTTTTATTGCTCGATTAAATGATATTTAATTCAGCCTGTCTGACAGTCTGACAGAATGTGCTGTGTTACCAGAGGGTCTTTGATGCCAGCGTGAGAAAGGGGGCGTTGGTCTCCAAATAAAAAAAAACAAACAAACAAAAAACAGGTAAGAAACACCACGTGGGTCCACTCTGACCTTTTTAACTGGAACCTGTGAGAAGGAGAAGGAAAGCCTGTTCCGGTCCGACTCTCAAAGCTCCTGAATGCATTGCTAGTGACGAGCCCTTCCTGTCTCCGGGGCTAATTATGTGAAGAAATGTTACTGGGTTGAGGGAGTTCCCTTGGGTTTAATTTCCTGTCCCTCTCAAATCATCCCTCTCCTTCCCTGAGCCCAGCCTCCCCTTTTCCTGCCCATGCTGGCAGGTTCTGGCCTTTCCTGGACCCCTCTCCTGCCCCCTGCACAGGTCTCTGGGGCTTCTGCTCGCTGGGGAGGGCGGGTTCCCCAGTGGAGACACTCCCTGCAGGTCTGAGTGGAGCCCGGGGTCCCTGCACGGTCACCGACGCTGCTGCTGCTCCAAGGAGTGGACGTGCAAGAGCAGGGATCCAGTACCCGAACGCACGTGTGCTCCCCCAGGAGAAATTCTGCAGCCAGGCGTGGTCCACACACCCTCCTTCCGGTGCACGCAGCCTCCTCCCGGTCCACGCACCCTCCTCCCGGTGCACTCACCCTCCTCCCGGTCCACTCACCCTCCTCCCGGTCCACTCACCCTCCTCCCGGTCCACGCACCCTCCTCCCGGTGCACTCACCCTCCTCCCGGTCCACTCACCCTCCTCCCGGTCCACTCACCCTCCTCCCGGTCCACTCACCCTCCTCCCGGTCCACGCACCCTCCTCCCGGTGCACTCACCCTCCTCCCGGTGCACTCACCCTCCTCCCGGTCCACTCACCCTCCTCCCGGTCCACGCACCCTCCTCCCGGTGCACTCACCCTCCTCCCGGTCCACTCACCCTCCTCCCGGTCCACTCACCCTCCTCCCGGTCCACGCACCCTCCTCCCGGTCCACTCACCCTCCTCCCGGTGCACTCACCCTCCTCCCGGTCCACTCACCCTCCTCCCGGTCCATGCACCCTCCTCCCGGTGCACTCACCCTCCTCCCGGTGCACTCACCCTCCTCCCGGTCCATGCACCCTCCTCCCGGTGCACTCACCCTCCTCCCGGTGCACTCACCCTCCTCCCGGTCCACGCACCCTCCTCCCGGTCCACTCACCCTCCTCCCGGTGCACGCACCCTCCTCCCGGTCCATGCACCTTCCTCCCCGAACTCAGTCTGTCTCTGTGTATCACACGCCTGTCCGCAGTGTTCTCACCTCAGGTGGGCACAGTGCGGTGGACTGCACTTCCCGCTGCCTGCTTGGTTAATGTTTATCTCTCTCTTGCCAGAGCTTTGTTTTCATTTCATTCAAACAGGTTTGCTCTTTTTACCCACTAAATGGAGACGTTTTAAAGCTCCAACTGCAAGTGCTAAAGTCTATAGCTGGGTCTGCATCTTCCATGATTTTACCTTTTTATGTCACCTCACTTTTTTTTTTTTTTTTTAAGTTATCAGTCAGTTTCCACTGAACCTTGGAAGATGCAAGAATTAAATGGTGGGGTCTTTTATAGGTTTTTTTTTTTTTTTCTTTTTCCGCAAACAACTTCTGCTGCACTGTTAGGTACCACAGCAAGGCTGTGCTGGCAGAGGCCAGCGTCCTGTGCCGTGACCCACAGACCAGCGGCTCCTTACTCCAATACTGAGGAGTGAGGTGGGTTCTTGTCCCTTTTTACCCTAGGACCTAAATATGGTAACCTAGTTAACTGGTAATCTGTCTTTGGTGCACTGGGAGCTCTGTGTGCACTAACCTGTGGGCCCCAGGACGCTCTGGGACGGCTGCACAGACGAGAACACAGGCCAGAAGGGTTTGTTAGTGACTTATCTGATGTCACAGGCTGGTCAGCTCAGCTGGGCCACATTCCAGTGGCCCCAGCCCTGTCCCACGTGCCCCCCGGCTTTCTCCTGGGAAGCTGCAGGGAAGGGTCCAGCTAGGGCGATGGCAGCTGGGTCCCTGTGGGGCTTCAGAGTGGACACAACTTCCCTGCCAGGGGGCTCGGATCCAGGGGGGCAGGTGGGACCCTGTTTTACAGGTGAGCCCAAGGAAGTGAGTCCTGGGCCCCAGAAGACCACCGACCCGTCCCCTTGTCCAGCCCTCTCCCCTCTGGGCGGGGCCGAGGGTGACCCCAGGTGGCAGGAACTGCACCCCTTAGGCACGACCCCGACCCACTGCCCCGCAGTCGCCCCCCCCGCCCCCCATCACGTCCCCACCCCGTCGCCCCGTCCCCCGTCTCGGGCACAGCGGGGAGGGGTAGGAAGAGGGGGAAGCGTGAGGAGAGCAAAGGGTGGGGAGAGGGGGAGGGGGGAGGGGGTAGAAGGGGAGGGTGGAGAGAGGGAGGCTCTTCCCAAGGCCCCGCCTCGCCGCCCTTCCCCCGCCGCTCTGGGCTCTGGCCCCGCCCCGCCCCCGCCCCGCCCCCGCCCCCGGGCCCCTCTCCGCCCCTCCCCCCCAGCCCTCCGCGCGCCCCGCCCCGCCCCGCCCCTTCTCCCTCCCTGCCCAGTATCCGCGCGGCCCGGGAGGAGGCGTCAGGACGCGCGGACACCTGCGAGGCGCGGAGCTCGGCGGACGCGGGAGGGCAGCACCACGGGCGGCAGGTGCGCGCGGGGCGGGTCCTGGAGGGGACGCGGGGGTGACGGGAGGGGGCGCGGGGCGGAGCCGGGCAGGACGCGTTGCGGTCGCTCCCGGAGCGGGGCCGTCTCCCCCGCGCCCCTCTCAGCCCGGCTGGGGACAGGCGCTGGGACCCGGCTCGCGGTCAGGGCGGCCTGGGATCGGCCCCCGCGGCCCCTGCCCAGTGTCCTGCGCTGGGAACTTCGAGGCGCCTGGGGTGCTCGGAGTGGCCGTGGAGGAGCCTCCGCGAGTGTCCAGGCGCCCAGGCCCCCTCCGCATTGTCACGGGGGGCCTCACACCCCGGCAGGTGTCAACGCCTGGACGGGCTTCTGCCGACGTTCCCTTGGGCACCTCGTAGGGCCACCCTGGGAGCTGTGCCCACCCCTTCCTGCCAGAGCGACGGGGGCCAGTGTTCAGGACGGCGCCCAGGGACAGGGCTGGAAGGAAGGGTAGCTTGGGGTCAGGCTGGGGTCGAGCCCACATCTGGGGGCTGGGGACAGGCTGGGGAATGTTTTTAGGTAATCTGGAGCGGAGGGTAGCCTGGGGTCGGGTCCACACCTGCATCTTTCATCTGCCTGCTTGTCCCGGGCCAGGGTCGCCTTGGCCACAGATCCCCAAGCGGACAGCGGGAAGGCCGTGGACCGCGGGCTGGGCAGACTCGTCCTAGGAGCCCTTTTGACCCGGCTTGGTTGCGCTGGGCCCTCTGTGGCTCTTCTCCCAGCTGCGGGCCCCTGGCCTGGCTTCAGACCCTTATATAGGATCCTGCCGGAGGGTTGGGCCAGAGGGGGCTCCGGAGCCCAGGCAGGTTCGCTACCTGGAAACTCCCGCCCAGGGGCGTGGCCCGCATGACCCTCACAGAGCCGGGACCTTGAAGGGGTTAAGGTGGCCCGGGCCGCCCAGGCAGGATGTGCCGGCATGGCTGTGGGAGGCCCCAGGATGTGTGGCTACGGGGACCGGCAGGGCTGGCCACAAAAATAGAAGTGAGGTCCCCAGGGCTGCAGGCTGCAGAGTGTCGGTGTGGCCCCTCCCTGGCAGACAGGAGACCCACATGGCCAGGTGGGTGCTGGATGCTGGGACTGAGGAGGAGCCCCTAGCCCTGGGGGGTTCCTAACATGCAAACTGTGGAGCGAGGAGTCCGGGGCTGGTCGTGAGAGCAGAATGCACACCCAGGCATTGTCTGAGTTCTGCAACCTCCATGGGTAGCTGGGGGGACAGGACACCGGGAGCCTGCGGAGCCCTCAGCCCTGGAGGGGGGAGCAGTGAGGACTCTGGGGCCAGCTGGCAGCTAGGTGGGCAGGAGACGGGGGTTTTAAGGCTCCCTCAGGACTCTCCAGCCCTTCTCCATCCTGTGGGGCCAGCCCTGCCCTCCCAGGTCCCAACTTCACCAGGCTGTGCAGGGGTCCCGGTGTCCCCGATTTCACCAGGCTGTGCAGGGGTCCCAGCATCCATGGCTCAAACTTTCACATTGGGTTTCCCCAAGAACCCCCACACCGTCTGTGAAATGAGGGAAGCCCTCCCCTGGGGGCCTCACAGAATTGCTGTGAAACCTGAGATTGTGGGAAACTGCTGGAATCCGTGAAGGGTCTGCAAAGTTAGGTGAGCTTAGGAATCTGCAGGCTTTGATAGGGACCCCGTGGCCCGCCTCCCCCATCGCTGTGCTGACTTCAGGACCTGCAGGCACAGCCGGGTGCAGAGGGGAAGGGGCACAGTCATCACCCTCACCAAGGTGATTGGATTTGCTGCAAGATGGAAGGGCTGTGTGTGCAGCTTCACATCTGTCCTCTGGAATTCAGGTCTCTCCACCGCCCTCCGAGGCCCCCTCCTGAGGTTTCCCTTTAACTGGTCCTGGACTGGGTGGTCCCAGTCTGCTCTGCTGTGGAGATGCACTCTTGCTCACATCGAGGACCCCAGGGAAGACTTTGGTTGGAATCTGAACGTTTATCTTGGAAAGGCAGCCTCTTGGTGACCCAAGGTCCCTTCAGAAGAGAGGCACCCCGGTCTTTACAGCCACGTAATTTGCGTTTGTAATGTGGTGGGAGAAGGCCTGGGATTGACAGAGGGCATGGAGGAGATGAGTGGTGTAGATAGACTGGCCGAGGACACCACCGGTTGGCAGTCTTTTGTCACCAGTTGAGATGATTTGGGATCATTTTCGGAGGCTCCCAGAGCAGCCACGGTTAGCACTGTGACCAGAAGGATGGAGCTGTCAGGTTGTGGGTGCAGCCCAGCTTTCTGTTCAGCCCACCCCGCTTCACTGTCTGCACTGGCTCCCAAGGACGCTGCGAGACTCTCATGTGGCAGGTGCACGGCTCTGGGCTGCATCTTGGTGACAGGAGCCCCCTGGCATCCCAGTGCTGGTTCCTGGGCCCCACCACAGACCTTCCCACCTCACAGAGGGGACGGGGCCTGCATCTTCAGCAGGCACTCAGTGATGTTTCTAGGCTCCAACTTGAGTCACCAGTGGATTCCCTGTGGAGGGTCCTTCAGAGGACAGCAGGGCACTGGTCAGGGGCATGCTGGCTGAGAGCCCACCCTGAGAGGAGGCCAGGCCAGTGGAGCACAGGGCCCCAGCTTGGAGTGCGGGTGGCAGAGTCTTTAGCGCATGGCCAGCTGGAAGCAGCAGTGGCGCTTTGAGAATTTCAAGTCTTGTCCAGAGGCCTTGGTAACCTCTCACTCACATGGCCTGTTCATGGCAACCCCCTCTTTGGGAAATCTACATCATGAGGGTCACTCCTGGCTTCCTAAAGTGAAGCTGTCTGAGCTTTCAGCCCACAGTAGGATACGGGACACTGTATGGCCACTGAGAAGCTTTTGGATATCTGTGAGGGCCACCATGGTGAATATGGTGGTCAGGAGCCCAGCATGAACCGGACTCAGTGGAGCATCAGGGCTGCCCCCGCCGGCTCTGCGGCGTTCA